CAATGGCCTCTGCTCGCTTTGATGCCACACATCTCAGCCTCCCCCAAGTGCCACCGATGCCCCTCAGGCTGCCATCCCAGCGCCAGAGCTCAGAGGGAAGCAGTCTGAGTAGGTGAGTCCGTGTGGGTTCTTTAAGAGGAACTGCTTGGGACTCTAGAAGTTTCTTCCACCTACTCAATCGCCACTGGTTTCTGCACCCAGAAGTTGTGGGGAGTTATCTCCCTGGCACTGGAACCCTGGGCTGGGGGGCCTGCTGTGGGGCTGGGACTCCTCGCTCCCGAGATGTCCCACCTGAATTGCTATCCACCACGCGTGGGTGTGGGACCAGCCCGTTCCGCGTCTTTGCCCCTCCTGTGAGTCTGGATGGGTGTAGTTTCTTTAATTCCATGGTTGTCAGACTTCCATTCAACTCGATTGCTGTTGGTCCTGAGCGATGGTTGTTCTGTATCTTAGTTGTGAATCTGTTGTTGTGCAAAGAGGCGAGCCATGGCTGCCTACGCCGCCATCCTGACCGGCAGTACCCACCGTACCCTCGTTCTTGAAAGACACGTTGGGTGAACAGAGAAGTTTGCTTGGTGGGTGTTTTCTCTCAGTGGTAACGGCATCACGCATTGACTCCTGTCCCCACTTGTTTCGGCGAGGGGTCTGGCTGCCGGACCCACGAAGGTTAAGGTGGCCTTTCTTTGGTTCTCTGCTTAAAGATGCGTGTCTTTGTTTCCGGGAGCTCGGCCACATCGTGCGTGGATGTGTATTCCTAGTTCATTATCCCGCCTGGTTCACGGGCTTCTTGAATCCAGGGCTTCGTGTTTTTTCAGTCAAGGACCCGGCCGGATAGAAATGATGGGGTAATTTGAACAGAGGAAGATTCAGATGAAGGTACTATGAACTCTGGAACTAGGAGGTAGGCATGAGCGCTAAAGTTGACTTGGGCTGAAGGCTGATACCCAAGGAGGCAAAACTTAAGAAGGCCCAAGTCCCCAAGGCCGGGATGCAGGACTCGCTGGAGAAGGTTGCAGCCCCTGGGGTGCAGAACTCCCTGGGCTGCCCAGGCCGGCGCCGGGTCAGAGCTGGGGGAGCAGGAATGCGCCCTTGGAGGTGGCGGTTGTCGTGCAGAGGAGCTGGGAGCCTGCTTGCCCGCAGGGCGGCACAGGCTGGGGGCGCATGTCTGGAGGACCAGTGGGACTGACGGTGGCCAGGCCCGGGCTGGGCTGCGAGCTTGCTGAGATGCAAAGTGTGGGTGCCCCTGGGTGTCTGCACGCCCCCACCCCCGCAGCCCTGTGCTCAGAGCGGGAGGGTGGAACCGACCACTGAGCGCGGACCCACGTGAGCTCGCTGCGAGAGAGACGTTCTGGCAGCAGAGCAGGGAACGAAGGGCGGACCTGCACGCCAGGGCCGGGCAGTGGGGGCGGCCACGGTGTTGGAAAACCTCTTCAAAACAGCTTCCCTGAGGGAGAACGTGTGTATTTCGGCATTCACGCACTTCGAGGGTGCAATCGCGTTTAGAGTCGCCCGGAAGGAAGGGCCCTCCTGCCCGCCGTGCGCCCACTCTGGGCAGCCCGGTCCGCGCCGGTCCCTGGATTGTTTCTGCACGCTTCGCGCGCATGGGAGCCCGCACGTCGCAGCTCTTTGCGTCTTGCTTCCTTGGCAGCCGTGACGTTGAGGTCCAGCCACAGTTTCGAGGTTTGCTCACTCTGCAGCAGGCCAGCTCATGCCTTCCCATTGCTGAGCAGCGTCCCCCGGCCTGGACACGGCACGGTCCCTTCAGCCTTTCACCAGCCGGTGGACGTCCGGCTGTTCGCGCTGCTTATAGTGGAGGAGTAAGACCACGGCTGCGTGTGCGGGTTCTGCTCTCACCTCCTTCCCTTCCTTCCCGCACCCCAGCCCACGCCTCTTCCTGCCCTTCGGTGTCGTCCGCCCTCTCTCCCTTCGAGCTTCGCCCCACCCGTAGCTCCTGGTCCATCCCCACTGATTCTGCTCGACATGCTCACGGAGGTCACACACTTTTCGGTTCAGGAATCTCCCTTTGTCCTCATTATATTTTCCGCTCACCGGACCAAAGTCTCCGTCCTGCCCTGCTCCTAGAGCAGAGCGTGTGCGCCCGAGCCGAGATCTGCAAACCCCCAAACCCCCACCCCCGGGGGCTTGATTCTGTCTGTTATTTCTAGTCTTTTTCCGTTCCTGCTTCGTGTCCTGTGTTTCTGGTCGTTTTCAATTGTGTGTGAAAAACCAGAGACTCACAACGGCCCAGGAGGCTGCATGCCTCCTCTAGGGGCGCTCTGTGGCCGCCCCTGGCGGGCGCCTGGGTGCCTCTGGGGTGAGTTCTAGACCCTTTTAATGCATTTTTAATCTTGCTTTTGTGAAAACTGCCGAAGAGCTCCTCATTTTTGAATGAAATCTTGTTTCTGAAGGTTTGGCAGAAACGGAAGTGTTAGGTCTGTGACGTTCTCTCTGGTTTTGGTCTCGGGCATGGCTGGCTTCGAGAAAGGAGTTCGGACGTGCTCCCTCCCCTCCCGTTTTGGGAGGGGGCCGAGAGGGACTGGGAGGGTTCTCTAGGGAGGCCGTCTGGCCCTGGGCTTTTGTTTGTTGGAAGGCGTTTGATTTCTGGTCCCATCTCCTTTCTAGTAACTCATCTCTTCAGATTTTCCGTTTCTTCTGGATTCAGTCTTGGTAGTTGTATGTTTCTAGGAATCTATCCATTTCTTTTAGGCTGTCAAGTTGGTTGGCCTGTAACTGTTCAGAGTCGTCCACAGCATTTCTACGGCAGCAGTTGTACCATCTCCTTCATTTCTGATTTTGAATTGTCTCTTTTCTTGGTTTGTCAACTTTATCTTTCTAAAGAACCAGCTTTTCATTTCATTGGTCTTTCCTGTTGTCTCTTTATATTTCGTTTGTTTCTGATCTTTGTTATTTTCTTCCTTCTACTCATTTGGGGCTTTGTTCTTCTCTTCCTGGTCCCTTGCGGTGTAAAGTTAGGTTGTCCGAGATGTTGGTTTCTGGGACTTGCCTCGTAGAACTGCTTTCGCTGCATCCCATTAAGTCTCAAGGTGTCTCCATTTCCATCGGTCTCAAGGTATTTATTTTCCTTTGGGGCTCTTCAACCCATTGGTGGTTCAGTGGGATGTTGTTTAATCTCCAGCTATTGTGAATTTTCTAGTCTTCCTGAAATTGATTTCTAGTTTCCTACCATCGTGTCAGAAAAGATGCTCTATGGGATTTCAGTCTTCTTAAATTCATTCAGACTCGTTCTGTGGCCTAGAGTGGGCTTCACCCTGGAGGATATTCCTTACGCACTTGAGAAGGATGTGTATTCCGTGGGTTTGGGTGGAGTGCTCGCTACCTGTCAAGTCCGCCCGGTCTGACGTGTCGGCCGAGGCCGGCGTCCCTTTCCTGACGTCCCTGCCCGAATGGTGCATCCGCTGGTGTGAGCGGGGCATTGAAGTCCCCTACTGTTATCACGCTTGCTGTCTTTTTCTCCCCCTAGGTCTGTTAGTATTTGCCTTATAAACGTAGGTGCTGGTATACTAGGCACGTAAATGTTGACAACTGTTACATTCTGCTGTGGACTACCGTTTTTCCCTAGAAGGTCCTCAGGCATCTTTGTTGGGTTTATTCCAACACCTTGAGGCCTGCGATGCTGGCATACACGGAGCCCTTGAAGACTTATGTTTTCTGGTTGTTGACTGTGTATGGGAACACGTTTGATTGTTCTGTGTGGCGTGCAGCTAACCAATGTGATGGACTTTCTTGGTCGTCCCAGTCACCCCTCTTCCCCAGTGGCACCGGCTGGGGGTCTCCAGGGCAACGCTAAGCAGACGTGGTCACCGTGGGGTCCTCACCTTGTTCTGATCTCACAGGAAATGCTTTGACTACCTCATCACTGAGCAGAGTGTCTGGACAGAATTGTGGAAGGGCGGCCTTCATCAGACTAGGGAGGGTTTCCATTTTGAGTGGGCTAGGGATTTTTTTAAGAACAAAAACTAGGGACGGGCGTCGCATTTCTGAGGACGGCCTTTCTGAGTGCTGAGGCCGTGCCGTGAAAACAGTGCAGGGGCACGGCGGGGCGGGGTCCCTCCCCGGGGACGCTGCCCGGTCAGCCCGGGAGTCGGCCACGGCAGGGAGAGCGGCGCACCCGCCCACGTGCTCTGTTCTTTAGCTTCCGTGGGGAGGGAAGATTTCGTTGTGTGTGTGGCCGAGTGGCGCTGCACCGTGTGACTGTCCCTTCTGTCCCCTCATCTGCGGACGCGCACTCGGTTGCTTCCAACTCCGGGCTATGGCAGACAACGCTTTGGGGAACACAGGGGCGCACCTATGCTTTCAAATTTGTGTTTTGGGGTTCTCCAGGGGTATTCCCGGAAGTGGAGTCATGGGGTCAACACGCAGTTCCATGTTTAAGTGTCCGAGGGGACCCCTGCCCGCCCCGTCTGTCAGTAGTACCGGCAGCGGCCAGCCGGTCTGGGGACGGGGACAAGGGACCCATGCCCTGAGTGAGCGCTAGATGGGGCGCCCCGGTCGGAGGGCAGCGTGGGAGCCCGACGGGGCTGGGGAGCCCTGTGTGGTGCACAGCGCTGGCTGGGGGCTGCAGGGGTCACCGAGGTCACTCTGGGGTCTTCGCCTGCTCTCGAGGGGCGCCCAGGCAAGGCCGGGCCCGGCTGTTCCTGTGGCACAAACCACCTGTGAAGCCTGTTTGGGCTCACGCCCGACTCACCTTCTCACCTTCAATGCTGAGCCCCTCTCTGCAGCGCTCCCCATGCTTGTGACGTGTCACTCGTGTGACTTTTAGGTTGAGAGGGTTAAGTGAGGCGGAGCCGGGATCGCCCTGCTCCCGGCTGGAGCAGCCCACGGCCACCTGGCCCGTCCGCTGCGGAGCCCGGGGCTGCCTTCCTCCGGCCCGTCCCAGCGCAGGACTGGCGGGGCCTGCCCCTCATCATTCTCCCGTGGAGAGCACCCGAGGGCCCCTGCGCCCCCCCGCCCCAGAGGCGGCCGCACAGCGCGCTCCCCGCGGCTTTCCTCGTGTTTATTCTCCCTTCGTACAAAAGTTACAGGTTTGAAATGCCTGCAGGAGGCGCCGCTGTCAGTCAGGTTGTCAGGCAGGAATACGTATTACAACAACACGGGGGGGCGGGGGCGGGGGTGCTTCCAGAGTCGGGGTTCAGTTCAGACTCGGCGCCGGCCTGCCCTCTCCCTGGCTCCCCCCGACCCCCGCGTGGAATCGAACCGGCCCAAGTGCGCCTGCCGGCCAGCACGCCGGCCCCTGTCCACCCGCTCGCCTCGCCTGGCGCCTCTGCTCAGACCCGAGGGCTCGGGGGTGGGGCCCCCACCCCACCAGCTCACGGCCAAGGACAGGCCACAGACTCACACCTGCCCTCGCGTGGCAGCGTGGAGGGAGCCCCGGGGCTCCGGGGCGAGGAGGCTCTGCAGCCCCCAGAGCCCAGGCACCGCCCGGCCACAGTGACTCGACTCACTCACTCCTTAAATAACAGAGCGATGCGCTCTGGCCCGACGCCGGACGTGGCTGTTTCTTTAAAAACAAAGTCTAAACAGCCCGCCTCTGTCGCTCTCCACGGCTCTGGGCTGAGGGCATGGGAGGCTCCAGCCAGGCACCCCTGGGTGCAGGGAAGGGTCGGGGGGACCCCAAAGCCCTGGCTGCAGACTGTGGGCCTCAGCAGCAAGAGTGGGGGGGACGGGCGGACGGAGAAGCCTCCGGCCCTGAAGACCTTTCGGGAGAGGAGCGCCCGCCCCGCGGTGGGCAGGTCTCTTGAGCAGGAGGAGCCCCTGCCACCCAGCAGGACGGAGCTCGGTAGGAGGGGGCCTGGGGGGAGGGGGTCTGGGGGCAGGGCAGGAGATGGCGTTTAAGGCACACGGCGAGCGACAGCAGAGGGGCCGCTGGCCTCCCCCCGACAGAAAGGCCCCCGGTCTCTCTGCAGGGACTCGCCCGAGCTACGGGCCCAGCTCAGGGGAAGTGCGTCTCTCGGACGGCCCGTCCTCTCCCGCTACCCCCTCCCCCTCCCGGCTCCCTGCCGCGTGGCCGCCCTCCGTTCTGAAAGCAGGGCTGGAAAGCAGAAGCGGCAGCCCCCGCAGGGGCCCGGGAGCCTCCCTCCTCCCTCCTCCGTCGTCCCGGCAGGTCCGGACCGGCAAGTCCAAGCAGAGAGGATGCCAGTGCTCCTCCTCTGCTCCCGGGCCGGGGCCGGGGCAGTGGGGAGATGGGGGGGAGGGGGAGGCGGACGTGAAAGCAGAAACCAAACCAGAAGACCACGGGGTCACAAACCAGCCACGAGACCTGCCTGCGGGCTCCGCGCGCAGGAGCGGGGAGGCCGGGGCGCACACTACTGTCCCCCGACGGGTCCCAAGGCCCTTCCAGTCCCGGAGCCGCACCCGAGCCTCTGAGCGTTCTCCGCACTCGGGGCTCCGCCCCTAGGTCTTCTCTTCCCGCTCTGTTTTCCTCCTCGTTATGTTCCTGGGTTTGATCTTCAGGGAGAGCTCCCACAGGGCCTCCTCCGCCAGGTGGTCGCTGAAGTCGTTGAAGAAGCTGATGATGTCGTCGTTCCTCCGGATGTCGTAGTGCCTGGTGGGGGGGAGGGCGGCCGGTGAGGGCCCCTCTGCACGGGCCCACAGAGGCCCAGCTCCGTGAGCCCACCTGGCGGGCTCTGTGGTCCACCAGCCAGGGCCCGCCACCCCCTCCTGGCAGGAAGACCAGCTCTGTGCGTCCCCCCGCAGGAAACAGGCCCAGCTGGCGGCCGTCCGTGGGCAGGCCGAGGCCCCACTGGACCCTTGTCACCGGGGCCCAGCTCCGTGTCCCCCCCACCCCGCCCAGCCCTGGTGGCCACACTCACGCCTGCTGGAAGCAGCGCATGCTGTCCAGGATGTTGAACTGCTGCCACCGCTTGGAGAAGTTCACCTTGCCGTCGATGTAGTCCGGGTTGCCCAGGTGCACGAAGGTGAGGTCCTGCAGGATGAGCCCCCTGCGGAGAGGAGTGGAGAAGGCAAGTCACCCCTGGAGGCGACTCAGTGGGCGGGGCCGCCAGGGCGAGCCAGTGCTGACGCGGCCAGGCCTTTGGACTGGGAAGCTACCAGAGCCCCTGGCGCCTCCGGGACTCGGAGGCTCCCTCCAGCGTGGAGTCCTGGCTCCCAGGCTCCAGTCCCACAGCCCCCAGTGACTGTCCCAGCCTGCAGAGGGCCGTCAGGGAATGCTGCTGCAGTGAACGCCGGCGGAGTTGTGGGGTTGCTGATTAAAATCCATAAAATCCAGCAGAGCCCACGCGGGACAGCTTCGGCTCCCCTCCCTTCCTGCGCGCTTTCTGGCCACGGGCTCCTTCCCCAGGAGACACCTATTTGCTGCACCCCAGGGCCCACCCTGGAGACTCGCTCTCTGAGCTTCTTCACGCCATGTGCTCTCAGGGCCCCGGGGGTGACTTGGGCCCCCAGGCGGTTGCCACGTGCGCCCAAGCTCGAGGACCGCTGGAAACAGGCGTGATGCCCCTGCCGGGGCAAGGAGCTCCTCATCTGGCTGCACACACGCCTGGATGTGCTGACGGGCAGACGGGGGGAGGACGGGGCCTCAGAACCATTCTCACTGGACCCCACTTTCCTGTCTCAAAGTAAAACGTGCTGCTCCTTGTCACGTGACTTAAAGTTCGGACGGAAGTGGGAACAGCTTGGTTGGAAACCTGTACAGACCGGTTTCTCGGGGAGTCTCATGGAGCGCCCCGGAGCAAGGGTGGGGCGAACCGGGGCAGGAGGGTGCACTCACAGGTACGGGATGCACGGCGGCTCCACCTCCGAGAGGGCGGCCCGGTAGGCGCGGAAGGAGGACGAGCTGTCTATCAGCGTGCAGTACTCCGCCAGGCCCTGGGCGGGAGGGACACGGGGGCCGTGAGCGCTGGGCACTGAGCCCTGGCCGCTTCTCACCGACCAGCTCGTCACTCACCCTCTGCCGGTGCTCAAGGGTTAGCACCTGGCGCACACGCCCCTTTCTCCGAACAACACCGCTTTCCAGCTGCCCTTTCATGTCGCCCGGTGAGATGACCCCGGCCCCGCCGGTGCTCAGCCCTGCGGCTCCGCCTCTCTTGTCGAGGAAACGCGCCCACCCGGCGGCAAAGGCCCAACCCCTCGCCAGGCCCCCCCCCCCCAGCACTGTGGCCACGCCAGCCCTGTGCTGCCTGAGGCCGCCGGCTCCCACTGCTCACCTCTCCTGCCTGGGCACTCCTGACCCCGCAGCTGGGGATCCCTTCCCTTCCCCGAGGTGGCTCCTCAGGGCGCGGCCTGACCAGCACTTCCTCTCCTGGCGCCCCTTCTGTCCTCTTAGCACCCACCCGGAGACACCCGCCCAATAAACACCACGCCTGCCTCTTCGCCGCACAGGCCCCTATGCTTGATGGAGCCCCGGCCCAGAGGAGGCTCTGCCGTCCTGCCGAAGGAAGGCAGGGGCAGGCACTTTCTAGAAGGCACGTGCTATGGTGTCGGCTGCAGGACGCTGTGATGTGACCCCCCAGCACTGACCACGAAGCCCCTCGACCCAGGGACGCAGAGGCTGCAGACGGGAGACTCAGGCTGTGGGGCGGCTGCCCATTCCCGCCCGGGGTGCGCCCTCCCTGCCCTCACCTCCGAGGTCTGCTTCTGCCACTCCAGCCTGCGGATGGGCGCCGAGTCCAGTGCGGAGAGGATGGCCAGGTAGGAGTTGAAGTTGTTCAGCTTCCGCAGATGCTGCAGAGAGAGGCGCGGCGGCCGTGAGAACCGGGGCGCAGGCCGGGCCCTCCCCCGCCTGGGGCGAGGCCCCCGGAGCAGGCCCGGGAGGGCACCAGGGTTACCTTCATGATCTTGATGAACTTCAGGAGCAGCCGTTCCCTGTCCTGGGCCTTTTCCTGTAACATGATGATGGACCGGACCCTGCAGGACCGAAGGAGGAAGAGGCTGAGGCCCCGGGTGTCCCGAGGGAGACAGAACCAGCCGGCACATGGTCACGACCCCCCACCCTCTCTGACACCAGAGGCTGTGGGCACTTTTTAGTCACCGTCTTGAGGAGCCGACAGTTCTGTTCCACGTTATATTAGTGGCATACTCCTGCACCCCATTTGCTTTAGGAATTAAAGGCTACCCAATAGCATTCACGGACCCCACTCTCCCCTGTTCTCTCCCGGGCAGAGGCAGCGTGAGGCTGGGCCCGGAGGCCGCCGCCCTGGCAGTGAGGAGACCGGGGAGGACCAGTGTGGGAGGGCAGAGCTCACCCCGCCCCCACCCGTGGGGGTGGTCACTAACCCGTCCTGGACCCTCCCTCCTGGTCTCCCGCTCGGCAGCCCGGGGCCCTCCAGTCTGGGGCGGGGGTGGCTTCCCGTGCCCCAGACACGCCCCTGCTCTCTGCTGCCTGCGGTTTGCAGGAACGCCCCCCCCACAGCGGCCGTGGGAGCCCCCCCACCCCCGAGGACGGCCCGCCGGGCCCTCACCAGTAGGACATGTTGTTGAAGTGCTCCGTGAACTGCGTCAGGTTGGGGCTCTTCTCCTCGTTCTGCTCCTTCGCCCAAAGCAAGACTTCAGGGATCTGAGAAAGAAGGCAGGCTGGGTAGGGCCAGGCCCCGCTTTCCCGGCCCGGGGTGCGGGGGCGGGGTCACGGGCCCACCCCCAGCCCCGCCCCGCCCCACGGCGCACCTCTATTTTATAGAAGAGCTCGGCATCCAGCAGGGTCAGCTGCTCGGCTATCTCGTGGCTGTGGAAGTCATGCAGGGTCCCGGGCCTGGAAGAGACGCGCGAGGCGAGTGGGCACAGGCGGGGAGCTGAGCGGGCCTCAGAGCCGGGAGCCTGGAGGGAGCTGCCGGCTGGTCGGGCCACCCGTGCTCCCCACGGTGCCTGGCCCGTCTCCCGCTGCTGTCGGGAGGGTGCCGCAGGTCCCCCGGCGAGCCCAGGGGCGGCCCGGCTGTCTGAGAACTGGGCCCACGGGACGGAGTGGGTGCCACGTGAACGAAGGCTGGGCAGAGGGGCGGGCAGCAGACTGAGGTCTGCACGCAGGGTCTTGGGGACGTTCGGGGAGGCACAGCGGGGCAGGGTGAGCTCCCACAGCCGCCCCGTCAGTGCCGGGCGGGAAATGGAGAGCCAGCCGCAGCCCGAAGCCCGTTTGCCCGTCCCCACCCTGGTTAGCCCCCATGTCCAGGTGGGGCACCTGGCTACAAGGCGACTCGCCAGGGAGAATGGGGCGCAGCGGCAGCTACGGGGCACGGCTCTAGCCAGAGGAGGCAGGGGCTGGAGAGGCCACAGGTGGGCGGACGGACGGCGGCTCACCTGGCTGCCACGCCCCTGGCCGCGAGGGGCTGGTCGGAGTTGGCACACCGGAGCAGCTTCTTCTGGTCCACCTTGTCCAGGATGTTCTTCCGCAGCACGCGGGCCAGGCTGAGCTCGCCGTTGCACACCAAGCGGAAGACCAGCTCCATCAGCAGCTTCAGGATCTCCTCTGTCAGCTCCACGAGGCTGCAGGGCCGCGGCCGCCAGGGGCAGGGGCACGGGGACAGAAGGGAGGACGGCTGCCACGGGGCCCCGACGCCGCCCCGGACACCCACGAGCCCCACGGCAGCCATTGGCAGAGCTCGGGCCCCTCTCACGGGGGGGGGGGGGGCGCAGAGCATAAAACCCCTTGGACTGCTGGGGGGACCCGTGGTGACAGTGACCCTGTCCCCTCGGGAAACACGTGCTGGCCCTGGACGAGCGAGCACTGGGGACTGTGGGGCCTGGGAGGGTGCCTTCACCAGCCTGGGAAAGGGCCGGCCTGCCGTGTGTCTGCGGACACGTGGAGATGGAGCGCCCCCACCCCCCGCCCAGGGGAGCATGGGGGGCTGAGTGGGCAGCTGGGTTCACCCACCGTGGACCCGGCCTGAGCTCCGTGTGGGGGGCACGGCCCCCACCAAGAAACCAGGGTGTGGGCCTGGGCTGGCCCATCTCCCCCAAGTCCGTGTGCGGAACTGCGGGCACGTGGCCCGGAAGAAGCGGGGCACCCCGGGCTCGGCACAGGCGCCGGTACCCCAGGGGGACCCAAGCGGCCATAGCCTCCCCACAGCCCGAGGGCGGAGGCACTCACCAGAGCTCGTCCACCACCCGCACCAGGACGAAGAACGTGTTCTTGCTGACGCGCTTCTTGAACGTGTCGGCAAAGGGAGAGAACTTCTCGTACGTGCAGCGCGAGTTAAGGAAACAGCCATTCCCCCCCGGGCGGGGGCCGGACGACACGAACGGGAGGGCCCCTCTCTGAGTGCCGGGACGTGCCGGGGAGCCCGGGCGAGGCGCTGCCCCCAGGAACCAGGTGCGGGGACAGCAGAGGCCTGGGCAGGGCAGCAGGACCGCAACGTGGCCCTCAGTCAGCGCCCGTCGCACCGTGTCCTCGCCCGCCACCCTCTCCTGCCTGCAGCACCGCCCAGGGCCGCCTGCTGAGCCTCACTGGGAGACCGGCAGTCACAAAACACAGGTCCGGGCACCCCGGGCCCCGGGTGGGTGTGTGGCCCAGAGGCGCCTTCCTGCGCCCCCAGGAAGTCCTCCGTGAGTCCCCAGGGCCCGAGGCCCCGCTGAGGCGCACCCGACGCTCCCCCGCAGTGGCCCCACGGACGCCTGGCCTCGGCCAGCAGCTCAGCTCCCAAGGCCCTGCCTTCCGCTGCCCTTGGCCGCCCCTCCAGACCCCGCCCCTGCTCCTTCCTGCCTGCCACCAGGGGACCCAGGAGTGCTCAGGAAGGAGCCGTGCGCTAGGGACAGTCCTCGGGGCCCGCGGCACAGAGGGCTCACGCGCCAGCTGTGCTCAGGGTCTCGACGCTGAAACGCCTCCACCTGGGCTGGAAGCGGCAGAGAGGGCGGTGCTGAGAACCAGCACTCGGGGGTCAGAGGTGGGGACAGGGTCTCCCGCCAAACAGCTGCTGGCCTCTCCGAGCCTCAGTCTCCCGGTCACACCGAGGAGTCCGAGGGCACCGTGTGGAATGCGGGGACAATACAGGTACACACTGCTGCCACAGCCGGCTGGGACCGCACACATGCGCCCTCGGCAGCACACTGGGCACCAGCAGGTTCTCAACAAGCACGCGCTACCACCCCCTGCTGAGCCGGGCCCACCAGCAGCCACCTGCGAGGCCCGAGGGACCAGAAGGCCTGCAGGGGAGGAAGAGGAGAGAGCTGGAACCCCAGACTCCCTGCCCCGAATGACAGCCGCTGTCCAGCAGGTGGCACTCACGGGCTGTGACTCGGGGACGAGGTCAAGGGGAAGCAGACCTTGGGCTGGCCCACTTCTGGGGGCAGGACGGGACCTGACAAAGAGGCGTCAACAGTGGTCCTTCCAGGCCCTGGGGTCTCCCGGAAAAGGTGCGCACGCACGCAGGTGCGGCCAAGGGGCAGGTGCCGATTCTGCCGTGGACTGGAGTTCGGTCCTCGGCCACGCCTGCCGTCAGAGCGTGGGGCCGTGCCTTCCCCGAGGCTGCTCACCTGAGCCTGGATTCCCCAGGTCCCGCACACCTGCACCCACCACCCCAGCATTCCGGGGCGCCCCCACGGTCCCTCCTTGAGGGGCCAGCTCTAACGATTCAGTACCATGCGTGACGGCAGCTCCCACCGCTCCCGTCCCGGGCCCGCCCCTCACTCAGCCCCTCACTGACGGGGCGGAAGCTCCAAGGGAAGCCTTGCCGGAGGCCCCGAGGCCAGGAAAGGATATCGGTACTGCAGCTTCTTGATGAGCTCCTCCGGGGTGATGAAGGTCCTGTAGGTGGTCAAGAAGGCCTCGCAGTACAGCACCAGGTCTGGGGGGAGGACAGCTGATGAGCGACGCCTGCTGCGCCATGCACCCCCGCCCCGACGGGAAACTGACGGCCTCGGCCGGGCGACCCGCAGGCCGTCACGGCCGTGGGCACAGAGAGAACGAGCCGACCCCGCCCGCAGGTCCTGGAGCTAACTCCCAGGCGGCGCCTCTGATGGCGGCCCCCAGGAACGAAGTCTCGGGGACCTGCCCGCACGGAGAGACCCCGGAGGGGTGACGGGGCCTGCTCGGCGCGCTGCTGGGATGTGCAAACCCCTGGGGAGGGCAGGGCCAGGCAGGGGGAGCCCCCCCGGCAGCCCGGGGCAGTGGGGCTGGCAGCTCCCCCCGCTGCCCCTTCCAGCCAGGGGTCACGACGACTCCGTTTATTTGCGGTCATGATGCCCCCCCTCGCCACGGTCCTTAAAGGAAAGGAGTGGAATGCTTCAGATGCAGGTCACTCCCCAAGACACGTGACCTGGCCAGGCCTGTGAACCGCGGCAAGGCCCCGGGGTTCCTGGGCGCAGCACGGCCGGAACCTGGCCTGGCGGTCTGGAGTGGTGCGACACCACGTAAGCACCGGGGAGGGACGACAGCCGCCGAGAGTCGGCGTGACTGCTGAACACATCACTCCAGGAGCCGCCCGTGCGGCGCCCGCCAGGAGCTGGGCTCTGCACCCGATGCTGTCCCCCAACGCCCCTGTGGGTCCCGGGGTTGTCGCCGCCCCACACCAAAGGGGGACGCACTCCGAGAGGGCCGGGGAGCAGAGGTCTGGCTTTCAGTGCAGGTTCCCGGGTCTGCGCCGTGGGCTGCAACCACAGTGACCCCGCAGCTCTGCCACCCCAACCCGCTCGGGGCTGGCGGAGGGGACAGGATGGGACGGGACAGGGTCAGGCAGGGCAGGGCAGCAGAGGGCCAGGCAGTGGGGGGTTGCAGTGGGACCCCCGGGCCTGGACGAAGGCCTCCCCAGAGGCGCGGCCGTACCTTTGCGGTCCGTCTCGGTGGCGTGGACCAGCAGGATGTCTCCCGAGCCCCCACGCACGTCTGGCCCGTCGTCACCCTGCAAGGACAGCGGCCACACGGCGGCAGAGCTGAGACCACAGAGGCGCTGTGCCAGAGGCCCCAGGTCCCCGTTCCCGCTGTCCCCCAGGCCGTCCCGCCGCCCACGGCCGCGACGCTGGGCCCGGCAGGCCCACAGGGTGCTCGGCTCAGGGACACGCCGGGTCGGGAAAGCAGCGCTCTTTGACCTTTCCCCGTCACCGATCCCTGGGTCAGAGGAGCGAGGAGGGAGGCTCCCACATGCTGGGGACGGGGGCCCACGAGGAGGCAGGCAGGACTGCCACCGGCCTCTCCCAGAGTAACCGGAGGCAGCTGGGCTGTCTCCCACCACGGCGCATTCCTAAAACTGCCACAAGCTGCCCCAAACCCCGATCAGCTTCCTCGGGTGGAAGGAGAAGCCACTTGTCGGAAGCCACAGGTTCTTCCGGGGCCCTTCCCAAGGAGCAGCAAGTGTCGCAAAGATGTTTAATTACACCTGACACTGCTTACATGACCGGTGACTGTGCGGCCGCCTGCCAGTTAGGGGAACAGTCTTGTTCCCACGGGAGCAGAGAAAGGCCCTGCCCCACTAACCTGGCCGGGAGCCGGAGACCGCGGCCGCCAGAGCCCGGCCCTCACCCGCACCCCTGCCGCCAGCAGCCCTGGTTCTCGCAGACTGCCCGCCCCCTCCTGGTGTGGGTGCTCGCTCTGGGTGCCAGGGCCCGGCGTGCCGCGGGTTTCCAGCCCAGGGTGGGGGTGGCTGTGCCCAGGACCCGCTTTTTCAGAAGGGATTTCTGGGAGGCGTCGGGAACCATCACTTCTGTCTGGAGAGCAGCCCGGCTCCTCTCCGCACCGCCCAGCCGTGCACGTGGGGCAGGACCCGCCTGCGCGTCTGCACCTGCCTGTGCGCCTCCACCCAGCCAGAGCCCAGGGACTGGCCCCTTCCTCAGGTGGGCTACTGGACTAAGCCATTCCCGGTTCCAGAATCGCCCGGCAGAGGGGGACGCAAAGCCCCCTCAGGTTAGCCCCCTCTGCCTGACAGGCCTGGGCGCCGCACTGTGCCCACGAGGCCCCCCCGACAAGGCGCGGGGGGGGGCAGCCTGCACACCCCCCGTCAGCCCCGTCTCCCCGGCCGTGACGGCTGCGGGTCACTCTGTCTACGCCAACTTGACGACGTCGAGTGCTGACGCGGGCTCGCCACACGCAGGCCCTGCGCTGAGCGCCTTGCGCGGGTCTCGTCCTCACAAACCATCAGGCTGGGGCTCGGGGGGTGGGGTGGGGTGTCGGGGGGCCCAACCTCACCCTGGACCTGCCGGCGCCCGTGGTGGCCCAGGCGCGGAGCCAGGAGAGAAGAGACGCACGGAGCCCAAGCCCAGGCAGCCGCCTGGAGGGCCGGCGCCTCGCTGGGCCTTTTGGTTTGACACTGGCGGAACCCCGCCCCCTTGGCACCAGCCAGACCCTGCCGACCGGGGCCTGCCGGGAGCTCACCTCCTGCTTGAGCGTCAGCCTGGCCATGATCTCGCTGTGGTCGATGAGAGACAGCTCGTCCACCTCCTCCTCCGACTGCGCCGACTCCAGAGCCTCCGGGGACCTGGGGGCCCTGGGGACATGCGGTCTGAGTTGCAGGTGCTCAGCAGGCCTGGCTGCACGAGGCCCGGAGGCTGTGGCCGTGCGGCCTGGGTCACGGGGGCCGTGGGTCAGAACCCCACCCCTGAACAGGTCTCCCTGATCACAGCGACCACGTGCGGCCCAGGCCCCCCCCTCCCGCCCCCCGGTCAGGAGGCCAGGGGCTGGGGCAGGTGCTACTGAGCCCAGGTGACCACGGGCCCCCTCTGCTGACCCATCTGGGAACAAAGGGGTTAAGCAAGGAGGTCAAGAAGGCCCCAGCGCCGGTCTCTGCCACTGTAGTCAGGGCCACCACGTGCTCAGGGAGAGGAGCAGCAGCTGGCCACGCAGAGGGAGCAGGGGAGTGGCTGGGGGACACGGGCACTGGGTCTGCAGGCACCTGACCTGCCCCCAGAGTTTCCCTCCACATTCCCCATTTATACTTGGGATCCTCACGGTGGACCCTGTCAGGCACTGGCTGCCCTCGTGGTCACAGGTCCCACTCGTGACCCTAAGTACCTACGACATGGAAGCTCGGGCCAACACGATGGCCCAGGACAGAGCTCTGCGCGGTCCTGGGAAGAACCCCGTGCCACGCATCTGGTCACCGTTGTCTGTGGTCTGGCTTTCCGGGAAGGAGGACGACATCCCAGGGACACCTCTAACCAGGCCCTGCGCCCAGCCCCTGCGTCTTCACAAGGCCCCGGGACCCTGAGACGCGGCCTCACGGACCCAGTGGGCGTGGCCTCTAGGTGCCGAACCAGACCTGTCCCCCTTGCTCAGCGTGTGGGGCACCTCGCCGGGCAGGTGACGTGCACTCCACGTGGACACACGGAACTTTGGCTGAGAGCAGGCGGGGGCCGCCCTCCTCCAGAGGCCGCGACAGGACGCTCTCTAGCAGTTTCTCCTGCTCCTGGCGACCCTGCTCTGCTTCACCCTTTCACGCTCAGGCCTGACGACGACAACCGGGGACGGCCCAGCTTTGCGCCAGGGCCCCCCGGGCAGCCCCCCGGGGCCGGAGAGGGAGGAACGGCCCGAACACGGGCCAGGGCAGACGCAGGGCCAGGGTCGTTCACAGGGAAAGTCCACGTGAAAACACAGTAAGCAGCTGTGTCACCATCACACGGGAATGAACTCTGTGCCTGCGGCACTCACAGCGGTAACCCCGCTTCTGCTGCACCCGGTGCACGGAACGCTCTGAAACGCTTCGCAAGGGTGAGGCCGACAGGACACGGGGCTGCGGGCGGCCGTGCGGACTGGCAGGCCCTACACAGCACACCCTGCACGTGCCACGTGGAGAGGCCCACCGCCGCGGCACCGAAGCTGGCCGGGTGTCACTGGTGCTGAGGAGTGTTACAGAGGAGGACACAGACGCACGGCTGAGCGCAGGTACGGCCCCTGATGGATCTGGTTCCAGAGAAGCCAGCCGCACGGCGTTTCAGGGAGCCCAGGGGAAGGGGGGAGGCTGGCCGACGTGAGAAAACGCACCGTCCACCTTCTCAGGCGTGAGACTGGTGCTGTGATCAGCACCGGGCTTTGACGGTTTCCCGGGAGGCGTGCCGGAGTGTGCGGGAACCACGGGTCCCGCCTGTAACTTACTTTCAGGTGGCTGAAGGGTGCAACACACGCGCTGTATCTACAGACCCCCAGTCAGGGGGTTTCTGGGGCCCTTGTACACTCCCTTACTGCACCCGAGCTTGGGAGAGGTCGAGGCAGGTCGGCCTAGGAGCTGACAGAGACCGCTGTGGGCGGTTTGTCAGGTGGCTGGTGTGCGTGCAGACAACCAAGAAGTGATGGCCAATGACCTGCGGCTACAACGAAGGGCTTTGAGGGGGCGCACCCCCGATTCCCCCGCTTTCTCGCAGCCTCCTGTCCTTTCCACATTTTCCGCCCTGGGCATGGACCCTCTGAGAGCCGTGAGAGAGGAAGGAACTCGGACGCAAAGCACCAGCAGGCCTGGCGTGTGGGTGGCGGGTGGGGCAGCTCAGGCCGCTCTCGCTCCCAGGACCCCGGCCCCACGGGCGTCGTCGCTGCCTACCTTTCTCCCCCGTCTCGGCTTTCCTTCCCGGCCACGCCGCCGAGCGCAGAGGGGTCCCTGGGGCGCCCGTCCTTCCCGGCTGGAGAGTCCTGGAAAGAGAAGTTGGTGCCGGGCTCGTGATGGGCGCCGTGCGGGGCCGCCTGCTTCCCAGCACTCCTGCCCGCAGGTGGCCCTGGGGCGGGAGTCCCCACGGAGCGGCCCCAGACGGAACCTGTCACCCACGCACGCGCGGCCTCACACTGAAGGCACACGGCTCCCTCAGACTAGCGTCTCGCCCTCTGGGGACGGTGGAAAGTGCCACCACTTACGACGTGCCAGCTGCCAACCGAGACAAAGCCTCCCAGCCGCCTCCTGGGAGAAAGGGCGCCACAGGTGCCCCGCTCAGCACAGCTCAGCCAGGCACCGCGCCCACGCCGCGGCCCTCTCCACCAGCGGCACCGCCGCACCCACTCGCCCGCACAGACAGAGGCTGGCGGAATTAGGGGCCCGCCCAGGGCCGCGCAGCTGGGAGGCTGCAGCCTGGACTCGACCGCAGGGCCGCTGCCTCCCGAGCCCGCGTCCTCAACCGCCGGGCCCTGCGGCTCCTCGTCGGGGGCAGTCCTCAGGACCGCCGCGCCCGAGGCCTCCCAGGGACGGCCCCGGAGGGCCCAGCAGCTCCCGTGCGAGAGTGCGGCCCCCGCCTCCAGCAGCCTCACTTCTCCCCGGGGGTCTGGGCCCACCCTGCCCAGCAGCAACATGGCGCAGCCGCACCCCTGGTCTGCCACGGAGGCCAGGACAGAGCGGGGCAGCACGGGCCCGTGGGACACTGTCATGGGGAGTGTTCCCGGTGAGCCAGTGGGCACTGGGCGTGGCCCCAGGCAGCGAGCGGTGTGGGCCCTGGAGGGCCGGCCTGAGGTGGGTGCCCTCGGGCAGGGGCCGGCCTGGGTGGCGCTGGGGGTGGGGGGCACAGGCCAGGCGGGAGCTCCGGGGGGGAAACAGCTGGGCCCCACCACGCGTGGGGTCACCGCCCACCGCAGTGGAAACGGCACAGCGCCCTACGACCTGCCGGCACCTGGAGCGGGGCTCGCCCCGCGCAGGCCCCTAGGGTCCTGTGGGGACCCCCTCGGCGGAGTCGTCTTAACAGGAGTGGCCATGCTTCTCACGGGCCTGACCCTGGATCGCCCACCAGGGAGGACTCAGCCCCTCCCCCCGCCCTCCCCTCAAGGAGGCGTCCCACCGGGATGCCGGGAGGGAGGGAGCTCTCTCTGGGGCTGCTGGATTGGCTCACGCTCCGCTGCAGCAAAGCCCGGAAGCTGACCGCTTCACGGAACCGCCGAACCCGACCGTCTGGAGCGGCGGTGGCAGGGAAGCGGGGAGGACAGCGTGGCTGGTCCTGCCCGCTCTTGGGGTGGGGGGGCACGGGGGGTCACGGGAGCAGAGCAGGGCCTGCCTGCCAGACTCGCCGCTTCCGGGAAAGCGGGGAGGGGGCATGCTGGGGAGGAAGAGGAGGTGACGGTGCAGAAGGCTCTGGGGGGGAGAGGCGGTCCCTTTGGGACAGGGATGGAGGGCAGACCGCAGTGCCAGAAGGTGGGACGGCACCTTCTGAGAGCACCTGGCAGGCAGCCAGGTGGTCGGCAGGCTGCCTCCGCAAGACCCGCTGGGCAAGCTCGAGGGGCGCCACGTGCAATGAAGCGAAAGCCAGAGAGCTCCGCCAAAAGCCAGGCCCTCTGCCCATGGCGCTGGTCCGCTAGGGGCCGGGAGGCTCAGCCGGAAGCCGGGGCCGGCCCTGCCGGCCGGCCGCATGCACCGAGCGGCCCCGAGGCTACTTACTCCTCGAGAGTGAGCCCGCTCCTCGCCGCTCTGGCCAGAGGAGCACAGATTGACATATTCACCCTCACCCGCCTCCTCGCTGGCGTGGCCGCTCTGGGGGGGACAGGGCGAGAGCAGAGGCATGTGTGACGGACCCTCCAGCCGGCCCCCAGGTTCCGAGAGCACAGCCCGCTGGCGGCCCTGCCAGGCCGCTCTTTGCGGGACAGAGAGGACGGTGACAGTGTGCACGAGGCCTCCCTGGGCGGCTCTGCCCCGGGGTCCGAGAGCAGCGCTGCTGGGCCACCTCTTGCTTGTGTTACAGGGGGCCCAGGCTTCCCTCTGGACCTTCTTCAAAAGGCCAGGGCCATCCAACCGTCCTGGGAGGCAGAACCCTTCTCCTCTCTGCCCTCCTGGGGACTGCGGGTCCCCAGCGCGGCGGGAGGTGATCACGGAGGGCGGGCAGCAACCACGCGGACGACTCAGCGTGCCGGAGAGTCGGTCCCCGCCCGCCCCGGCTCTGCCCGTCTCCTCGTCCGTGCCCAGGCCGCCTGGCCAGGCAGCAGCACCTCCCCGCGCCGGAAGGAGCCCTGCGGTGGATGCAATGGCACAGGGAGGCCGCCCTGGTGCCCAGCACCCCGTGCAACCCAAGGGCAGCCATCCGTGTGACCTCTGCACCCTCTCCAAACCCCGCCAGCCCCATGGAACACTAGGAGCATCTTCTAACTCCATGCTCATGGTAACTGACCGTCCCTGAACGGTCACCGACCCACCTGCAGAAGCACAGACCCCTAGTCTGCCGGGAACTCTGTGCGGAACGGCCGCGGCCTCACCTGAGACCTACCACGGGCCTCCGCCCAGCCATGCCGCTCGCGGCACGTGCGGTGGCAGCCGCGATGGCCGGCGGAGGGCGGAGGCCGCCTGGCACCAGCAGCGACACCGCTCTGTCCCCACGTGCAGCCCCCACGGGGGCGGGGGGCGCTGAGTTCTCACCGAAGGCGTCTGGGGCGCGTCAGTGAGAGAGGTTTCGGGAGGAAGGCAGACAGGGCTCCCGGGGGAGGTGCTCTCCTGAGAAGCCGAGAGAGGCCCGTCCACGGCGCTGGGGGGCGGGCCGGCCGCGGGTGGCACCGCGAGGTCCGAGCTCGGAGACGGGTGGACAGGTGGGAAGTGTGGAGAGGAAGAGGAGGTAGGCGGGAGGAAAGGCTGTGCGGAGGCTCGGCTGTGAGGCACGGAGTCCTGGGAGAAGGACCTGAACACAGACTTATACTAGCGGAGCGGGAGCGGGAGCGACAGACACAGGACGAGGAGGCGGAGAGAACAGACAAGAGAGACAGCGGTTAGTCAACGCGGCCAAGCCCCGCGGGCTGCTCACGGCAGTTCTCGCGAGGCCACGGAGCAGGCCCGGCCGAGCCCGCGGTCCTCCGGCCCAGGGTCCCCCACCCGGGCGCCCGCCCTCGAGAGGCCCCGGACTGACCGGTGCCATCCTGCACGGCAGGACGCCCCAAGGACAGCAAGCCCCACGCCACTCAGCACGGTGGCCGCGCCCTCTGCCTGTCACACAGCCCCGTCCATGCCTCTGGTCCCTTCAGGGACCCACTGGGTAGGTTCAGCACATTTAGTCAGACGCCTGCCACGTCTGCTCGCTCTGAATCTTTTGGATAAGCAAATCTCCTTGGGTTTACCCCTTGAAGTCAAACAAAACAGCCTTTCACATACTGTAATCCACCTCGAATCCTTAAGGAAGGGCGGGGCATTAGCCTCAAACATAGCTGAGGAATTGTGCTAACAAAATGCCAGAAATTTCTTAGTTCATTTCCTTTCCCACCCAATCTTTTTTTAAAAAAGATTTATTTATTTTTAGAGAGAGGGGAAGGGAGAGAGAAAGAAACATCAATGAGTGGTTGCTTCTCTCATGCCCCCTACTGGGGACCTGGCCCGCAACCCAGGCATGTGCCCTGACTAGGAATTGAACCAGCGACCCTTTGGTTTGCAGGCTGGTGCTCAATCCACAGAGCCTCCCCACCCAATCTTTTCTTGTTTTCTTTCTTTTATTAAAATGTTCATTTAAAACGTTTTTCTTTTCCTTCTCACCTGAGGACACTTTTCATGCCTCTGAGAGAGAGGCAGGAAGAGACCCTGCTGCACCCGGACAGAGGACCAAACCTGCAGCCCGGGCACGTGCCCTGAGGGGAATTGAACCCACGACCCTGTGGTTACGGGACGATGCTCCAACCACCTGAACCATGCCGTCTAGGGTTTCTGTCTTTCCTTTTCTACTAGATGGCGTGATCTGGCAATGCCTCCGACGCCACCACGGAGCCCTCAGGCCCCCCGCAAACCTCACGCAGAAGGAGGGTCTGCGGTCAGCCTGGGAAGTGCGCAGTGAGCCCTGTCCAGGCCCGGGCTCTGCGCAGGGAGGGGGGCCAGGGGGGCAGAGACCACCGACCACCGGCCGAGAACACGACCGTGTCACCACGTTCCACAAAAGACCTGCCAGCGTCCCCAGGAAACGGGCGAGGAGCGTGCGGAAGGGACCGTGGCCGAAGTCCTTGCTGAGCTCACTCGCCCGCCGTGGACGCAGAACCCGACAGACGCCACGCCCAACGTAACCGTACACGCGCCACTCACCCCACGTCCCCTGCTCTCGGCAGAGGGTTCAGGGCCCACGGGGAGGAGGAGGAGAAGACATTGTAAACAAACAGGAGGCCCAGACGCGCCACGTCCTTAACCAGTCCCACGAAGCTCCGCTGCACCCTGGACCGAGCGCTCCGGCCGCTCCAGGGACAGGCCAGCCTCCCCTGCTGTGCGGCGCTGCTGGCCGCCGGCCTCCTCCCCGGCTGCACCCATCAGAAGGGGGGGGGTCTTCCCCCCTCCCCAGTGAGGCCACGGCCCTCTCATCCCGCTCGCGTCAGGGGCTGCTGACTCACACCAGACCTGGCGGGCCTGTCCCGGGCACCCGCTCACACAGTTTACTGCCCGTCTCACGCACAGAAAAGGCGCGGCTGGTGCCTTTTCTGGGAGCTGGGACACGTTTTCAGGTCACATGGACCCGGACCGTACACCCCAGTGACCCTGAGCAAGTCCACTGAGGCTGGAGCCTCAGTTTCTCCCCCTGTGGAATGGGGAGGAAAACGCGAGCACGTCTGCCCCAGGCTCCCTGGGTGGACCTGATGGTGGTGCCCGGGCCCCAGCACAGCCTGGCTCGTGGCCAGCACTCGGTCAGTGTCCGCTGTCTGCCCTTACCCTCCCGAACCCGTCTGGGAACTACCCTACACAACGGCTCCGAGACGCTTAACAGGGTCCCACACTTCTACTTCCTGAACAAAGGAATACTCAGGCACTGCTTCCAGTGTTACTACTTAAGTTCCTACGGTACCGCCTGATTCGGGGGGCGGGGGGTCTCACTTTTGAGTGTGGAAGAGTAACAGGTGACACCGCCCACCGCCAGGTGCAGGTCCCCAGTGGGAGATGGGGATGGAGGCCCAGGGACACGCCAGGGAGCGCAGGCAGGAGAGGGGCAGCCCCCAAGGAAGGGAGGAAGGAAGGAGGCTCCATCTCTAGGACTGGGCGACCGCGGCCGCCCTCCCCGAGCAGCCCTGGCATCCCAGCTATGCAGCCGCGCTGGGGCGGGGCCGAGCTGCGGAGGCACCTTCCAGGGCTGGGGAGACGCGGGGCTGCCCTCTGGCCACCAGCAGGCCCGGAGCCTCCCCAGCAGCTCTGCACACGCACGGGCCTCGTTGGGGCTCGTCACCACACCACTTCAACCCGTCCGGCCTGTGCTGCTGCCCCCAGAGGTAAAGGGCCCAGAAGGCTCTTTAAGGTCATGTTTATTCACACAGGCAGGGCGAGGCAGAGCTGGCCACTGAGCAGAAACGCCACTTCAGCGCAGCCCGGGGTGTATTTCAGGCTCCGCCTCCGACAGGGCGGCCGCACTCCCCGCAGCGGCAGCCTTTATTTATGGCCAGAGGAAGACTGTTCGGGCTGCGGATTTACGGAGAGGGGCTGCCTGTCTGGGGACTGCAGGCTCCGGCCAAAGGCCCAGGAGGGCCGGGGTGCTCCTGGGAAGAGGCGGCCTCAGGAGAGGGGGTGCCCCACCACAACCCTCGCCCCGTCCTGGTCAGCCCTGATCACGCGGTCCCCCAGGGGTCAACAAGGACCACCTCAGGGTGGTCCGATGAGCCCCTCTCACTGCACACCCCTGCTGGCCAGACGAGGGCCCCGGGGTTCTGTGTGAACCACCTCGATCTCCGCACAGCGTGGCTCTGGTCCGCGTCCCAAGACGAGGAAACAGGCCGGAGGAAGCGGGGCCGGCCGTGGACGGAGGCCGTGGGTGTGCCAGCAGCTGCGGGCTGGGGCCCGATCAGAATGGCTGCCCCACAGCGGTGCGAGGGCCAAGCTTCAGGGACCCCTCAGCTGCAGCTCTCCCAGGGACTCGGGCCTAACGGGAACGGACTTCCTGTCGTGGGGAGTGTTTGGGGAGCGCGGTCACGACTGCACACCCCTGGCTCAAGCAAGGCCTCTGGTCTCCGTGTCTCTGAAGGCCGCAGGGCAAAGAGCTGCGTAGCTGTAGTGCTGCCTCTCACGCCCCCAACCGAGGACCTGGCTCGCAACCTAGGCACGAGCCCTGACTGGGAATCGAACTGGTGACCTTTCGCCTTGTGGGACGCTGCTCAGCCGACTGAGCCACCCAGCCAGGGCGGCACGGAACGCGTCTGACTGGCTTTCCCGGACCGTTAGCTCCCCGAAACCCTAACTGTCCTTCAAGCCACAACTCAGGAGCTACTTCCCCGAAAAGCTCTGCGTGACCGTGTCCAGCTCCACAGCCCACAGGGCCTCTGCTCAAGGTCTGCACCTCCCCCGACGTCACCCACGCCCGGCCTCAGCGCGAGGCCCCGACACGCATCTCCTCCCGCCTGCTGGACTGCCGGCACTTCTCAGGGGTGGCGGGGCCGCCCCGCACGCCCTGACCCACGCAGGAGAGGCCCTGTGCTCGTGGGGCCCCGGGAAGAGGGAGCAAGAACGCTGTCCCTGTACCCACTGGGACTTCCGGTGGCCAGTCCCAGCTCCTGCTCCACAGATGCCCTGGGCCAGATGACCTTCAATGGTCTGAATCTCCGGCGGCGGCAGTGGCAGCAGGTCCCTGGGCCAAGGACAGAGTGAGTGTCCTCAGACCTGACGACTGCTGTGCTCTGGGTGGCACCCTTCGGAACACCACGCTGGCCTGGTGACAGGCCCAGGACGCCGGGCGGAGAAACTCGGGACCCCAGGGCCACCCCGAGAGCGGTGCCCAGCCCCCTCTGTGTGGGGCGCGTCTCGGATGAGGGCAGAGGGCACGTGCACAGTGTACGGGGGCTACGCTGGATCAGATGGGGGGCTTCCTTTTAAAGAAACAAAGCATCTTCATCAGCTCCTTCCCTCGGGCTCCTCAGTGGAGCTGGTGCTAAGAATTTAGAACTTCCGAAGCCACACACCTCCCTAAGTCCCAGGCATGAGGAACCAGGATGTTCTCACAGCCAAGCTTAACTTAGATGCCCCCCAATCCTCTTCCATTCTGCAGCCAACGGTCCCGTTCACGGACGGCACTGCAACTCCGAACTGCTCAGAAGGGATGCTCTGGGCTCTCTTCTGAGAGTTCACACTTACTTTCTGTTTACGGGGAAAAACAGACCAGAGCAGGGGCTGGCTGAGGCCCAGCGGAGCGCGTCTGTGACAGTGGCTGCCGGAAGGGTCTGCGCAGACCCGGGGCTGGGGTGGGGGTGGGGGTGGGGGGAGAAGAGTGTTTGGCCTGTGCCAAGTGGAGGGTGGCTGAGGGCTCTGTGAAGCTAGGCCCTGGTACCCCTCCCCCAAAGAAGGCACTCCAAGGTCCTCGCAGCAGGCAGGACCGTCCTAAGCTGGGCGCTGGGTGGTCCCAGAGATGCAGCCTGGGCACGACCACACTGGGACCCTGAGCCGGACCAGGCTCTGAAAGCCACCAGGGAACCTCATCGCTGCAGGGGGCGAGGGGAGTCCAAGCAGGCCAAGCCACTGGCCAAGTTCCCACGAGCGGAATCCGAGCAGAACCGGGACTCGAATCCAGAACTCTAAAAGCAACGACGGCAGTAAGCGTTTCTGAGCTGGCCGTGTGCCGGGCAGTCCCCTAAGAACTGACCTAACGCTCACGCCCCAGAAGAGGAGGTGGCGAGTGAAAGCTCGGCCCGCTTCGGCGGAGGGAAACGGGGATTGGGGAGCAAAGACAGACCGCGCGGGGACAGACGACCGCGGCGGGGGGCGGGCGCCGCTCCCTCCCCGGGTCCTTCCTGCCGCTCACTCTCACCTGACCCTTGACCCGATGGAAGGGGGGCGACGGCCGTCGGGTTTTTGGGCAGATGCAGATTCCGGCACAAGGTCAACTCTCCGTCCCCTACAGAGCTAGCGCCCCACGTTTCAGAGGAAAACCGCTCACGAAGATGGCCACCGACACTCCCCCTCTGCCCCACCCCCTGCCAGCAGCCCCCTCCAAGGGGCAGGCCCCTCCCCCAGTCCTGGAATGCGGGCCGGCCTTGTGACCGGGCTGAGGGAACGCAAGGGAGGGGGCGCAGTACCCGGGCCGGGCCAGGCCTTGAGATGCCTTGCACGCTCCCGTCCGTTTCCCGGGGGCCCTGCCAGCTGCCCTGCGAACAGGCCCAGGCAGGCCCGACGGGGGCCGACCCGTCACGTGGGCTGCGGCCAGCCCAGCCCAGCCCAGCCATCCCAGCTGAGGTTCTGGGACGTGAGCAAGTCCAGCCTGGGCCAGATCAGCAGCCCCCTGCCCCGGACCTGTGTCCCGGGCAATGGGACATGGTTACTGTGGCTCGAAGGGACGACGTCTTGGGGGCCTGTCACACAGCAAAGGCTAACGGTGCCGCCCTCCGACCCCAGCTCTCTCCCAGGCTCCCTCTGCGAGGGGAGTTTCTCTGTAACCACGGAACAGGTGAAGGGCTGGCCCAGGGGGATCAGGGTAAAAAGGCCACGATGCCTCTGCAGTCTACGCCTGAGCGATAATGCTACGAGTGTAGCCACGCCCGTCCCCCCACCCCTACTCCCACCCTGCGCCCCCCACCCACTCACGCGGCCCTTCAGCACAGAGCACCGTCCCCGCGCACCCTGTCCCGCCAGGTGCAGGGACCTGTCTGCAGGAGGACAGAGCCAGCGACGAGCAGCGGCACCCTCGTCGGGAGGCACGGGCCGCGGGCGCAGAGCGGCAGGGGCGACTCACCGAGGGCACGGGCAAGGCGCCGTGCCGGCTGAGAAAGGAGTTAGAGACGGACACACTGATGCCCTGAGTGGCACTGCCGTCCTCGGGGGTGAAGGCCACTCTAGTTTGCTGGACACAGTAGGAGACAGAGGAGAAGGAAGAAGCAGCATAGGAGGCCTGCTGGGCAGAGGGAGGAGAGGAGACGGGAGGAGGGAGAGAAGCAGAGAACAGTCAGGCGTGTGTGCGCGGGCCGGGGAGGCTGTGGCCCAGCTCCGCTGGGGCACTCTGGAGAGGGAGGCTTCTCGGCCCAGCGTGGGGTCAGAGACGCCCGCCAGGGCCACCTGGGCAAGCGGGCCCCCTCCCCGGCTTCCTTACGACAGAGGGAAGGCTACCTTCCCCCCAGTTGTGCCCACCAGACTCGCTGCCTCCCGGGAGGCTGGCCGTGGTTCTGTCTGGTTGGCCCCCAAGCCCACAGAACGTAGGAAGAATCAGGGGCGCCTGGGGCTGGGCATAGGCGAGGGTCCCAAGCACAGAACTGCCGTGCCCTGGGGGGCCACGAGGAGGAAGCCAGGGCCCTGTTTCTCTGGTTGGCAGCTGCGTCCCAGAGAAGTCGGGGCAGCACCTCCGGTCCCCGCAAGAGAGGAGATGGCCCGGCCGGCCTCCCTGGCCACACCTCAGCGGAAACACTGTCTCCCCGGCCAGCAGGGGGCAGAGCAGCAGCAGAGGCCTTCTGAACAGGACGAGGCCCCTGGTGCCCTTCCTGGAGTGCCCGGCTGGACGGGGCCCTAGAACCTGCCCAGAGCCCACTCGGTCAGCCAGCCGGCAGCGAGGAGCCAACGGCGTCAAGGCAGCAGACAGGCGCAGCCGGTGGGCCCTGCTGCCGGGCCCCAGGACCTGTGGGACCCGGCCCGTGCAGGCTCGGGCTGCGTCCCCTGCTCGAGTCCCCGCTCAGCTGTGCTTTGGAGGGAGGAGGCCGGCGCCATGCCTCAGACCCGCGTGGCCGTCCTGCTGCAACAGAGCTCGTTTTCCCTGGGACCTCCCTGGGCAGGGCAGAGTCGGGCCCCTGATGGAACTCAAGGCCACAGACGGCCCTGCACAGACCCTGCCCTGGGCTCCGGCCGAGCCCTCCTCTCTGGGAGGGGTGCACTGGGGCCACAGGAGGGAGAAAACAGTGCACGAGACTGGCGGCAGAGAGAGCCCACCAGCCAGGCCCGGCTGTGTGGGGCTGCCTGGGGGTGGGGTGCGGGGAGAGGGCAGAGCAGGGGCCGGATGCACACGCGAGCTGCTCAGGGCGGAGTGAGAGCCCCTCTGTGGGACTCGGCGAGTTCCACACCAGCCCCAGGCCCCGCTGGAAGGAGAGAGGGTTAGACCTGCCCCGAGGAAGGCCTGTGAGGATGGAAGTTCTGGCCACTGGGGCGGCACAGAGAGGCGACGGGGGGGAAGGGCTGCTTACCAGCTGCCGCTGCTTGGGAGGCAGGGCGGGGGGCGGCGCCAGCTCCGGCGGGGCGTCCACGCTGCTGAAGGAGTCGGTGAAGCCGTACACCTCCATGAGGAGCCTGTTCTTCTGCTGGTAGACGTGCTCGTTCTGCGGCGTCTGGTAGAACACCGACGGCTGCGGCTCCGAGTAGTCCTCCAGCAGCTGCATGTAGGCCAGCACTGCGGGACAGGGGGCCCGGTCTGTCACCGTAGCTGGGGCAGCGAGACCAGCCCAGGGGGGCGCCCCAGCAGTGGGCACACACGCCCAGGAGCAGGAGTGGACACCGAGAGTGGGCCCTGTCGGACTGGGCTCCGGGTGACAACGACACGTCACGTCAGTGCAGGCTCCCCGACTGTCACTGGCTGTGGCGTCCTGGTGGTGGGGGCAGGGACACACAGGGACTCTGTCCTGCCCATTCAGCGTTGCTGTGAACCCCCAACCGCTCTGAGAAATAAAGCCCGTTTTTAAAAGCACACTGGGGCATCCGGCGCCCTTGCCGCACACCCCGGGGGTTTCCAGGCACAGGAGGGGCAACAACCGTGTGTGGGCGGGGCTCGAGGACCGCACGGCCGTCCACCTGCAGCCCCAGGAACACCCGCAGGATGTCCGCATGGCCGTCCCCGCTGCGTCCCCAGCCTCTGAGCCGACTCTCCCCGCTCTGTGGCTCAGGCTCTGCCTGGCCACCCTTTCTCCGAGCCTCATGCGCACAGGAGCCCCACCGTGTCCCCTCATTTGTTGGGGGCTACCTGGGGGTGTCATTTGTTCACCCAATTTTTAATGAGCACCTACTATGTGTTAGGCACTGACCCAGGGGCTGGGACTACACAGAGGCCAGCACAACAAATCCTCTGGCCCTGGGGATCCGCCGCACCCTCCAGGAGACAGGAAACAGACCCAGGCGGGGTGAAGGCCGGGGCACAATGCCCCGTGGGGAACAGAGAAGCGGGGGTGCGCGTCTAGGAGATGGACGAGCTACGCAAGGGTGGGGAAGAGCCCCCACACGAGGCTCCAGGCCAGACAGAGGCCAGAGGGGCACGGGGCCCGGCGACAGTGAAGGAGATGAGAGGGTCCCCGGGAGGTGGGCCGGGCCGGGAGGCAGCCTCGGTGCTGGCCTGGCAGGGACCCTCGGAGGGCCCCAGGGAGTGTCTGCAGCTGCCTCGTCTCGGGAAGACCACCCGGAGCTGCCGAGGTGGTCGGGCGGAACGTCCCGGTGGGGGGAGGGGCCGGCAGAGGCCTGGGTCGGGGCGTGTTTTCAGAGTGGACACACGCGTCCTGCCCACCGCCGCGTCACTCGTGTGCACATGCAGCAGGTGCCCGCCAGAATGGGCAGAATGGACGGACGGACGGATGGACGTGTCCCTCAGCACCTGCCCCTACCTGGTGACTTGCGGAGCCCGGCCAAGCAGCTGGGGCGGGGCGTGTACAGCACCCACTGGGTGTGCAAGGAACACGGCAGGTACACTCCGCTCTCCCCTTCCAGCGGCAAGGCTTTAAACTTCTCCGGGGGGCAAAGGGTGGAGAAGCGCTCAAGTTCAAATGCATGCACCCTCCCCTCCCCCCAGCCCCGTAAAACCCCTCTGGGGAACCCCAGCCCTCGCCCCCGCTGCCAACTGATGCCACGCTGCTGCCTCTTGGTAGAGCTGCCTGCACCCCGCGGCCCGCCCGGGGGCAGGCTCTCCCTCCTGCCCGCACGGTGGCGGCGCCCACACAGAGGCCTCCGGGGCAGCAGGGTCCCACCCGCCAGGAGGCGGGAAGCCAGAGAACAAGAGCTCAGCTGTCCCGTCTCAGCGACCTCACCCTCGGGGACACCTTCTCTGGAGGTGTGGGGCCTCCCGTGGGTGCACCCATGCGCACGCTATTCCTGACTTTGGGGTCAATGATCTGAGTCCTCTCCGCAGAGCCACACGCCCCTGAAGACCCCAGAGGGTTCTGGGAGCAGCGCCCGTTTGGAGCGGACTGCACCCAGACGCCCGGTGTGCGTGTGAAGCCGTGAAGGCTGGGCTGGGGCAGAAGCCCTCTCTCCCACCCCGCCCGCCTCTGGGAGCTGAGCCTCGTACCCGACATTCCCCACGGCCGAGCCTCGGTCCAGGCTGGCCCGCAACCCGGTAGTGCTGGGTTAGGACCATCACTTCCTCCTCTCGGCGACTGGGAGGAGTGTCCCGGGGTCACAGACTGGACTCCCCAGGCGTCCTCTCAGGAAGTGAAACAGGAACTGGAAATCAGGACCAAGCCTGGAGAGCCTCACATTCAGGGTCCTTTCTCGGGGCACAGAAGAGACCCCCGCTGCCTGGGGCCAGCATCTGGAAGGGGTCTCAGCGAGGAGGGGCACGCCCTGCCTGCTCAATGGGGGAGGCAGGGCCCCCAGCCGGGACGCGGGCCTGCACTGCAGCCCAGATCGTCCTGATCCCCGGCACGGCTCGGTTCGGCTCCTTCACCCGTAAAACGGAGCCGATGACCTCCCTGGCCTGGCCGCAGTGAGGACCGGCTGCAGGGGGTGGTGCAGCTGTAGCCCAGGGCTCTGACGCTGTGTGCTCAGCAGGCATGGAAGGTTCTGCAGGCACGAGTGCTGCAGACACCGGTGGACGAGGTGGAGCCCAAGTTAACAGAAAACACTGCAGCCCTGGAGACCTGCTTGTTCGGAGGGAAGAGTAACCACCTCTCCCTGGCCTTCCTTTCTCCCCAGCCCCAAGGGACGGCCGCCCGCCCCTGCTCTGAAGGCCAGCAGGGCCGCCCAGGCTCCTCGGCCAGGCAGCACCGTGCACCCACTGCAACCTGCAAGGACGTGGTCCTGCCAGTCCTGGGTCCAGGAAGGGAAAAGGAAGGGGCGTGAACCCAAAGCAGCATATTCCCGACAGGGCGAGGGACGCCGGGTGGAAGGGAGGGGCCTACGGCTGTGGACACACTTGCCCGTGCGGAGCGGGGGAGCGCAGGAGGAACCCTTCCTGCTGCCGCCATTTGTCGCTCCCACCACGAGGGCCCTGGCTTCGAATGGGCCAACGTGCACGACACACGGGGGCGACACCACCAGCCTCACGGAGCCGCTCTCCCCGACTGCCCAGGCCAGGGCACAGGCTGGGTGACCCCCAGCGAGGAGCTGGGGGCATGTTACACCCTCGGTGGCCGCTGCCTTGCAGGCCCACCCAGCTGGCCCTGGGGTGGGTCCCCGCTGCAGTTACCCTGGCCAGGTCGCCTCTGGCTCGAGAGGGGCCGCCCTGGGCAGAGCCACCCCACCCCGCACTGGGGAACCTGGAACGTGGAGGCTGTGTGCGGGTGCTTCGCCCGGGGCCAGGCTGCCCTGGCTGCGGGGCTGACGTGGCCTCACACACCTCTAAACGGCCGTGGCGGGTCGGCCAAAGACCACGGCAGAGCCGTGCCGGTGAACCGGGAAGGGGGCGGAGACACGGGCCACGCGGGGCCGGCGGGGAGCCGGCAGGGAGCCGGCAGAAACACCAGCGTGCAGCAGGACTCTACTTGGGAGTCCGGTGGCAAATTCGCAGTTGGGAATATTCAAAATATGAAAACCCAGAGTTTCAGCTCCACCCCTGGGCCCCAGTAACGCCAGGCATTGTGGTATCTGCTCCAAGAGGCGTCCTCGGGCCATCTGGGACCTCTCTGCACAGCCCCCCGGCGTCCTTCGGGACCCTGCGCGGGCCCCCCCGGGGCTGCGGGAAGCTGCCCTGAACCCCGCACAGCCACCTTGCTCTATCTACCCACGGCTGCGGCCACGGGCCCTGACCGCCACGACACTCGTTTCTCTTTGCCACCATGTGCTCAGGCCAGAAGGTCAGCTGACTGCCATCCACAAGAGGCCATGCCTGGGTTCTGTCACGGCCAGAGGAGAGCTCAGCTGACCGGGCTTACGCAACGATCACCAGCGCTGGCACGCCGGTTCCCGGAAGTGTCCGCGTGCCTGTGGTCCTGCCTTTGCCAACCCGGGAGCCCCCCGGCTCGACTCTGGCCCAGCGCCCCAGTGGGACCCGCCACCGGCTTAGGGCGCACACTGCGCTTGCTGACAACGGCGCCACGGAAGCTTACTGTGTTTGTTTTTCTTTTCCGGCAGCGGAGGCGGTTTTTCCGGGTCCCCCGTTGGTGCGGGAACAGTGAAGTCCCCCACAAATCCCACCGAGGCCGAGGAGCCTCCTTGCTGGAAGGGGAGGACAGCAGCGAAGGGCGTGAAGGGGATGGGCTGGGCCAAGGCCGGGTTCTGCAGGTCGTCCTCGGAGATGTTGTCGTACTGGGAGGGGTGCCGCTCGTAGGACACCCTGCAGCCAGAGCTGTCCGTGGTCTGGGAGGCCGCGCTCCGGCGCTTCTTCTCGGGGAGGGCCGGGGGCGTGTCCGCCGGTGGTCCCGGGGCCGAGGGCCCGTCCGGCTGGGGGCAGCCACCGAGAGGCAGCTGGAAGGGATGGCCGAGGAACGGAGACCCAGACTCCCCCAAGGACTCCGGCAGCGGGCTGAGGTTGCAGGCCATGGGCTGAGGTATCTGGTCTGCGTTCGAGAGGTCTTGCTGAAGGAATTCGTAGTCCGGGTCGTAATGATCTGCGTTCGCAACGGGAAAGGCACGCCCATCAGCCATGAGACCCCCCAGGGAGACCCCCCACGCCCGTCCCCAGCCCGCCCATCCCAGCGGGGCGGGGGCGTGTCTGCCGCCGCACTGTGAGGCCCGGGAGGCAGTCTGCCCCCTCGCTCGGCTCCCGCCCGGCAGCCGGGACGGACGGGGCGCGGCTCTCTGCCACCCCGCTCCTTGCGCTTGCCAGTGCTTTTCTGAGCTTCTTAGTTAAAAAAAAAAAAAAAAAAAAATGCATGACCGCTGTAGAGAATGTGGGGGAAAAAACCCATATAAAAAGTCACCTGCAACCCCATAGTCTAACTGCAATGTGATGTATTTCCTTAAAAGTCTTCCCCCTGCCACGGAACTCTTTTCTCCAACTGAACCAGGACACACTCTCGAGGGCCCAGGGCTTTGCCCGCCGGCCAAGTGCCTGCCGCTGAGCTTTGGCGGCCGGGTGTTGCTCCGCTGCGCGGCTGTGCACAACCTGTCCACACCCCCGAGCGGCCGGGCAGCTGCGGTTGCTGCTAGCCCCGACAACCCGGGACGAAGGCCCTCGGGCAGCAGTGTGGCTATAAGCCTCTGATTCTGTTCTTAAGACAAGCTCTCCGCTGCGAAACATCCAGACTGGGGACCTGATCGGCCTGAAGCTCTTCGAGCCCACGTCAAACGGCCTTTCGGGCCTCGCGCGGCCCACACTGCAGGCGGCCAGCACCCACGAGGGCCGGCGTGTGCCGCTCGCCTGCCTCCCCCGCCTGTCAGCAGCTGTCAGGGTCTCCCCTTCGCACGGCTCTGAGCAGAGACGGCTCTGAACTCTTAACGCTGGCGAAGGGGGTCAGGCCGCAACCACCAGGCTGCTCCACCGTGGTTTCACACGGCATTTCCTCTAGACTCACAGCCTTCGAGAGGCAGACCCCGGTGCCCTCGCTGTACAGATGAGGAAACCGAGGCCCGGGTTTGGAAAGACGTGGCCAAGGCCGCGGAGTCGGTGACCGGCATCACTGCACGGCCCCGAGGCGGCCAGCGGACGATGGGATGGGCGGGCGATGCAGACGCCGGCAGCTCACCTAGCGTTTCACAGCTCGTGTTCCGGGAGCACTGCCCGCTGTCCCTGTCCAGCGAGGACAGCTGCTCGTCGGACCTGCTGAGCTTGCCGATGCTGCTACACGGGGACAGGCGGGGCGACTCTCCCCCGTAGGAGTGGCTGCCCCCCGACAGGCGCCTCTGGGCGTAGCAGTCCCCGTCGAGGTCCTCGTGTGAGAAACAGAAACAGCCCCAGTCAGTCCTGGGAGACAGTGGCGGCAGGGGCTGGGCAGGAGGGAACTGGGACGTGTATGTGGGATGGAAACCACCACCCACCCGAAAGCTGGCTGGAGAGGGCCGGTCTGCGACGTCAGCAGTGACCCGCCCCGTCGGGGCCTCCCAGGAAGACGGCTGCAGGAGTGTGGAGTGGGTGGCGGGGAGGGACGGCCGGGGCCGGGCTCAGATGTCCTCGGGAGCTGCCCTGGGCCCCAGCCCTCCACCCCGTCCCCAGCGGACGTGGGGACTAATACAGGGACTGAGGAGGTCACACGCACAAACCCAGAGTCTCCCTCGCTTTTCCGGGGGGGCTGCATTACCTGCCTGTTGATTCCGACAGGCAGACTGGAGCCGCTGGTGGCCCGGCTCATGGGGGCCACGACGGCCACGCGGGTCGGGGATGGAGCCGACTGCCTCTTCTTCGGCGGCAGTGCTGGCGGCGGGCTGGGGCAGAGCAAGACACCCGTCAGCCCAGTCAGCCCAGACAGGTGCTTTCACCAGAGGGGGGCCCGGCGCTGCTCATCCTTGGACACTCACGGCTGCTTTCCGCACCCTCCCCTCCCGCCCCACGCTCCCGCCAAACAGGCCTGTTAGAGGAGCCAGAGGCCTACAACCAGGAAGACCCTTTCTCTTCCTTCTGCATGAACCGCCAGGCCAGCTTCTGCCGGGCCAGGTTGTGAGGCCGGCAGCTGGGCGTTCCAGGCGGGGGCTGGGGGGTGCGGGGCCAGGGCTGGGCCTCACCCCGGGGAGGCCGCGCTTCCCGAGCTTCTACAGAGCGAGGGACCAGGCCCCGAGTCCCTCTCGGCTCAGTCTACCCGCCCACTCATCACGCTGTGTCACAAACAGAGGAGGGTGCCAGGAAGACAGAAAATTACCTATTATCGACCACCCGGATGCCAGGTAAGGGAGGCTTGGGGGGCGCCACCTCCTCCTCAGCGGGGTCGAGGAGCAGCTCGGCCGACTGCGACGCGCTGGTTGTCCTGTTCAGGATCTCCACCTCCCGGTCCGTCAGGGGGAGCTCGGACTGCCTGAGAGTGGCAAGGAACCTGGGGTCACCGAGGGTCACAGAGCACACGCAGGTCCGAGGAGGCTGAGGGTGTGACCAGGGCAGGAAAATGACTGGGGGGTGTGTGGCTGGACACAGGGCCTGGACACTCCACGGTAGAGGTGGGTTTCCACGTGTGGTCTCGTCACCAATAAACAACGGGCTTAGCCAAGCCCCGGACTCTGCGTCCTAGTCTCCCCCTCTGTAGAAGGGCCCCTCCAACCCGACCGTCTCAAGGCTGTCTAAAATGCATGCTCCAATTTGGTTTATATTGGTACCAGGGGCCTGTAGTAGGTCAAGCCAAACGCTCTCAAGCCAAATCCCCAAAACCCAACCTTCAAAGTCCTTTCTGACGAGGAAAGGAAGTTGGTTGGGAAGGGCACGGTGTGGGTCATCGGGCATTCCCACACTAGCCTTAGGAGGAGTCACGCTGACTGTTAACCTTGACATCGGGAGACACTTGCAGGTGCGTGGGAGCTGCGCACACTCGGAGTGACGAGGGCACTCCCCAGGACTCAGGGAGTGACACGGGGCTGTGAGCCCCACCTGCGTGCAGACCCCACGCGACCAGTGACCGGAGGGCTCGGTCAGCACTCACCCGTCGGGCTTGCAGGCTGGGGAGCTGGGTTTCACCGGGCTGGTCGGAGACGGGTGCCCCTGCTTCTCGACGGTGAGTCTGACCAGCTCCTGCACCCGCAGAGGAGACAGGCAGTGAGGCAAGAGGACAGGTCCTCACCGCCGAGCTTGCACCCTGGGGTGGGCTGGCCGGCCGGCCGCCCTCCACTGCCAAGTGCTGTCTCCATGCCCGCAGAGCGCCCGCACGCCAGGCACTCGAGCACCACCTGACTTAGGTAATCTGCACGACTTCCCCAATGTTCCCTGCCCTCCAAAAATACCCGCACAGCACGTCAGGCAGTTTCGAATGTATCAGGCACTTCCTCCTGGAAGGGGAAATGACGAGCCCCACTGTCTCACAATGACGAGTGCACCCCACAGATGAAACCCCCGGGACTGAAATGGCAGACTCCCAGTCCGGGAGTGCAGGCAGCACCGCGCTGGTTCCCAAACGCCGTTCCACAGCGTGTGGGCGGTGCCGCCGCCCACCAGGCCTCCGGCTTTGGGAGGGTGGTTTCCCAAGGTGCCCTGGGAATGGGTGGGGCGGCGGACAGAAAGTTGAGGGTACACGCCCCAGCAGAGAAATGGCTTTAGAAAATCGTTTTTAAAGTAGAGGGGGAGGAGGAGACATCAGGGTCGCTTCTTTGCAGCCCGAACGTGTTCTCCCTGGGTTCGATGGTTCTGACGATCGCACCCACCCAAACGAGACCCACTAGGAAGCACAGAAGGTGCCCACGGGCCCACCAGGCTGTCCCCCCGACTCCAGCCACCGCTGACTTCTACTCCTCCTGCTGCTCTCGCCCAGAACTCCAGGGCGCCAGACAGAGGGGACCACACGGTGTGCACTCTACAGCATGCACTGCCTTTTCCCGGGCAGCTGCGTGGGTACCTAGCCCACAGACCATCACGGCCAGCCCTGCAGAGCGCACAGTGGGGCCGTTTTCAATCTGCTCACGGAGCTGCGCGGCCACCGGCACAGTGACGTCGGGCCTTCTCCTGGCCTCCGAGGGCAGCCAGCCCGGACGAGCCCCGCCGATTCCCACGGCCGCTTGGACGGGCCACCAGCCCTCCCGCCGGCGGCCTGGCTCCTTGCGTGGCAGTGCGTGGATGACCCGCCATTTCTGCACTCACTCCCCGTGGCTGGACATCCCAGCAGGACCTACTCACGCTGCAGGGGTGCACAGGCCCTCGGCACAGACGCCGGGTGGGGGAGTTACAGCAGAGGCAGCAATGGACGCGAGGGAGCAATACAGCAGCGTGTCCCTGCACTGGACGCAGAGCCTCTCCAAAATCAAAATGTCACACACACGGATCACGACAGGTGTGGCAGGGCAGAGAGCAAGTGTCCTTCCCAGAGCCGGGGTCCTTTCAGGAACACCGAAACCGAGAAATGAGGACTACCCCAGAAGCCCCCAGATGCAAACAGTGACTGACGGTCAGCACTCACTGCAGATTCCCCAGCCTGGACGGCACTAAAACAGAAACTCCCAGACGTGGCAGATGGCAGTAATGCTTCGGACGGCCTTTATAAAGGATCGCTTGTCTGTATATATCAAGCAATATTTGCATTCTTTTTATAACAATTTCACCAAGAAAAATGTCATGGACGTGTGCAAAAATCAAACCAGAAACAGTCCTCACAGCGCCACGTGTAACAGGTAAACTGGACTGCTCCGCAGTCCACAACTAAATTAGGTGTTGATCACCGGAACTGTGATGGACCCAAACAACGGGCCGGTGTATCACCCTGAAAAAGCAACCCACGGCCAGCGCGTGCGGCGGGCGGCGTGGGAAAACGAGGTCAGCGTCCGGTGGAAGCCAGTGGGGCGCACACGGCTGACCGCAGAGCGTGCTCTGCAAACAGACCGACCTGGGGGGGCACACAGTGCAGACAAAAACAGCCACGCAACACCCCTGCCCCCCGCTTCCTTGCTCGTGTGGCTCCCCTCTTCCTGAACTTTCTACAGGGAATGTGTGTTCTGCCGGAACACTAGTTTGAAAAGCTCACACGCAGAGGCGAGCCCCGTCCCAGACTCAGAGCCACCCGCTCCAACGGCGGGGCCCACCCTTGGAGATGGGGAGAGAACTGAGATCCCCAGGGGCCAAGTGCTGGGAGGAGAAGGTCAGTGTTCCCCTGTCGCCACAGCTCCGAGGTTCAGTGACGTCTCACAGACGTGGAAGGGACACCCCCCTAGCCGGGGATCACGGACAGGGCGGGCAGGCGACGGGCTAGTGCTCTGCAACAGCCTGCGGGCGGCGCCAGGGCCTGGGGGCGGAGGGAAGCAGCCCGTCGCCGGGCTGGACCAGGGTTCTCGCAGTTCCAGGGGAAGAAAACGAAGGTGTGAGTCTGACGGTCTAGGTTTATAAAAGCCCTGGCGGTCCTGAGTGTGGACCGGAATCGGGAGCACACACTCAATGCTACTCCCAGGGTGTGTTTTGTTTAAAGACCCTGAACAAGGGGCCACTGAGCAGCAATCAGCAGGGATCTTCAGCCCTCGGGCTGCGGCCCCCACGCACCGGGGCTCCGTAATGCAACGTCCGGTTCCAGCGTGGTGGTGAGAAGTGCACCGGATGACTCGTAATTCAATAATTAAAAGGTAAACGACACAACTGAAAATGGACAAGGACCTGAATAGATGGTGAGTTCTCCAAAGAACACACGTGGCCCATGAGCAGGTGAAAAGACACTCAGCACCACCACCACCAGGGACATGCAGGTCAGACCCACAGCGAGGCACCGCTCTGCCCGCCGGGGTGGCTGGGTCAACACGCCAGTAACAAGTGTGGGCAGGGACGTGGGGACACTGGGACCCCCGGGCGCTGCTGGCGGGCAGGGACATGGAGAGACTGGGACCCCCGGGCGCTGCTGGCGGGCAGGGACGTGGGGAGACTGGGGCCCCCCCAGCGCTGGTGGTGGGCAGGGACGTGGCGCGGCTGCTTCGGAAGGAAGTCTGGCAGCTGCCACAACGGCAAACACGGGAACCGTGCGACCTGGCTCCGCACTCCCAGGTGAGCGCCCGAGAGAAGTGAAAACCCACGTCCACACCAACGCTTGCACGCGGATGTCCACAGCCGCCTGCTCATAAGTGCCGGCACGTGGAGCCACCCAAACATCTGCGAGTGAGTAACACGCGGCACAGCCACACAGCGGGTGCTACTGGGGAATAAAAAGAAGGAGGCGCTGATGCGCGCTATGGCACGGATGAACGTCGAACACGTCCCGCTGAGTGGCAGGAGCCAGTCACAAAGGCCACGGAGCACACGAGTCCGTTGCCGTGACCCGTCCGGAAGAGGCAAACCCGCGGAGACGGACAGCGGTCAGCGGCTGCCGAGGGCGGGGGGTAGGGAGATGTCGGAGAAGGTGTGGGGTCACCTGCTGAAGTGACAAAGATGTTCTCAGCCGTGGTGACGGCTGCACAAGTCTGAGCACACGAAAAACCATTAAACTGTACATTTCAAAGGGGTGAGCTGCACGGTATGGGAATGAGACCTCGATAAAGCTGTGACACGAATCGTCAAATACACGCGCCCAGGGTGAAGCCCGGGACACCCTTCACGCCGGAGACCGAGAACCCCGGCGTCCCGGTGCCCCCTCAGAGTGAGCTCAGGGAGCGATGTGAAGCCCCCGCGGCCAAAGATGGGCCCAGGGCATTGCTACGAGCGCCGACGGCAATGAACTGGGCCATCTCGAGCACAGTTAAACTCGAGTCCAAAACGGTGCACTCGTTAGAAGATCTGATTCACTGATTTCTAGAGAGAGTGGGGGGGGAGGGGGAAAGAGAGGGAGAGACACACCAACCAAGCGCCTCTCGCACGCCCCCAGCCAGGGATCGAGGCGGCAACCCAGGCGAGTGCCCTGACTGGGAACTGAACCGGTGACCTTTCGGTTTGCAGGACAAGGTCTGTGGGACGGTGCCCAGTTCACTCGGCCACACCAGTGAGGGCCAGAATGAAATAAACAACACCACCACAAAACCCCTCCATCCCTGGGTGGAACCAGAGGATGCTGGGAAACACTCACTGTTCCGGTGCCCGGTAAGTAAAGGCAGGAGCTCCGCACTGCCCGTGGCCCTCCTGCGGGCCGAGCTCAGGGCGGCCTTAGCTGACAAGGGAGGGCCTCTGCGGTGTGGGTTCCAGCTCGGGAAGGCGGGGGAAGGGCAGACGGAGTGAGAATGTGATGGTTCGCACCCCTGTGACCTGAGGGGGGGGCCGGGCGATCCCCCCCCCCCGGTACCTACTAACACCTGAAAGGGGGCCGGCCTGGGGTGGGAGCGCAGGGCTGCCTGCCCAGCGGCTGCCGACGATGAAAACCTGGGCCCCGCGCAGCGTCCGGAGTTACGGGGAGCTCCAGGGACGGGGCCCGTGTTCCACGATACCCCCCAGGCGTGATCACCGCGAAACCCAGAACTCGGGAGACTGCTAGGGGCAGCGGCAAGAAGAAAAACGCAGCGGAGGGGAGGGGAAACCGGCCAGGCCCACTAACGGGCTGCAGCGGTCGGACCTCCTCATCCCGCCGTGAACGACGGTTTGAAGGCAGCAAACCGCGCCCCACAGGCCAGACCCGGCCCAGGGCTTGCTTTCCGTGAGGCCCTCCAGGTAAGGATGCTTTACTGAAGAAGATCAAAATTTAAAAAGTCCAACAAGGAATATGCAACAGAGGAGGTAAGTGGCCCGAGAAGCCTAAAATACCGACTATCTGGTCCTTCCTGGAAAAAGCGTGCCTCGTCCTGAGGCACCTGTCAAGCTGCCGACGGGGCAGGATGGGGCCTGGGCCCCGCTTCCAGGGCCCCCCCCCGGGGGCGGGGCAGGCGGAGGCGCAGGAGAAACGCCGCCTGCCGAGCGTGGCCCACTGTGGGGACTCCGCGATGGGGCTCAGTCACATAGTTCTCTTTTTTGGCAAACGTTTGAAATTTTTCACCCCAACATTTAAAAACGGCCTGAATGAGGAACAAAGGGAGGTGGCTTATCTGAAATGTCAGTGTGACAGACAGCTAACGCCCCACGGGATCGGTTCTCCCTTATGAATGGAAGTTTGGCTGGGCATGTGTCTCAGTTCCGGCCAACAAGTGTAAGAGAGAGTTTTGTGAGGCCTGTGAGGAAGCACCCTTAAATGGAGAAGGGGCAGCTTCCTACTCTCTCCCCGTCCTTGCTTGCTGGAATGTAGTCCTAATGGACGGAGACGCAGCAGCCGTTTCGGACCAGGAGGTGAAAGTCAAGTGCCAAGGACGGCAGGGAAGCAATAGGACAAGAATGCCCTGACCATTTTGTGAAACTGCCACCAGATTAGACACAACGGCCTGTCTCGAGGCTTCTCCTACGTGAAAGAGAAATGAAGTTCTGTTTTTTAAAAGCCGTTACATTTCCGATTCCCTTGCAGTCGAATCTAGTTCTAACTGACAGAGTCAGGAGAACATTTCTTCCAAAACAGTCCTGGCACACAAAGCGAATCCGGTGCGCAAGCCCAACTTTGGGCGCTCACGGCACTGCAGGTATTCCGAAATGTTGCTCCAAGAGTGGGGCCTTAAAAAAGCTGCTGAGGGCCGGCCTCGCTGTGACAGCCGTCCGTATTGGGGAGCAAAACGGCTACGGGACAGGGCGCTCCAACACCGGAGACGCCAGGAGACGTTCGCGCTGACGTGGCAGGTTCAGGGACAGGCTCTGGGACGAACCCCAGAACCCGGGGGCAGGGAGGCTGCCGAAGCCCCTGCTGGGGGCCGTCCGGGACCCACCGTACCTTCACTCCGTCCAGCACCGCCTTGATGACCCCCTTCACCGACGTCACCATCTCTTTGTCTTCCGAGTTCACGCCTTCCAGCATCACCTGGTCGGACCAGCGGATGAGGTTGGCCAGACTCTGGTACACTCGGCTGTAGCAGGACGAGAGCGCGGAGCTGAGGGAGGAGGAGGAGTAACACACGTGTGAGGCGCGGGGTCACCAGGGCACACCCGCGTGGCACAGAACCTGCCGCATGGCCTGTGGTCAACGAGCTTTCCCTCCCAGCCCCACCCCCTTCCACCCACCGACAATTCCGGGAGTGTTACATTCCAGTCTGCTGCACACAGTTTGTCATTTCTCCACTCCAACGTGTAAATATCCCATCACGGTCACTGACACATCTTTTCAGACTGCACAGCCTCTGCGGGATGGTGACCACGCCCCAGGAGAGCCCGCCTGCCCCGCCCCGAGGTGCCGGGGCCTGGGCCGGGTCGCCCAGGTCTGCCGTTCTTCTGCACCCGGTTTGGGGTCAGACCGAAACTCGGGTCGGATGTGTCACGGGACCCCCACAGGGTTGTGCAATCTGAACAGGCAGGACCCTCGAAGAAGCGGCCTTGACCGTGAGCCCAAAGAGATCTGTCCTTTACCAGAAACCGGCCACGGCCAGCCACAGCCGCGGCGCCGGAGGGCGCACGGCCAAGGGCACCTCGCGGAAGGCGAGCCTGAGGTGAGGCCGCCGCACGCAGGACCGACGCCCCGGGACTCCCACGGCCTCCACTGCCCCGGAGGGAGGCCGGGAGAAAGAGCTTCCACGCCCTCCATGGCGCTTTAAATAGCTAACGGTAATCTCCCTAAGAATTATGGAGAGGACTATTTTCCACTACAGAAAACCTGTGGCCTGCTCCTTCGTCTTCTCAGAAAATTTTAAGAAAAGAAGAAAAAAAAGAAGGTAGATATTTAGGAGCCAATAGTATACTTTTGAGGAAAAAAAAATAGTCAGACATGGTTAGGACAGGTTCTGGAAACAGCCATTCACAACACGACCCCGAGTTCTGAACCGGGGACGGAGCGAAGCGGTTCTCCAGGCACCAGCCCCTGCTCTGTGCCCGGTCCAGCAGGAGGGGCTCGGGCAGCCGGTCACAGACCCCCGGCCCCTTAGAAACAGGGCCACGGGGGAGCCCGAGGGAGCCGGGCGGGGCTGCTCCGGAGGGCGCCTTGAGTGGGCGCGAGTGCTGGGGTCGGACCAGCCCTCCTGGGACAGGGGACTGGGAGGGGGAGATGGGAAGTGCGGCGGCCCCTGGGCTGGCCTCCCGTGACGTCACCCGGAGGGAAGGCACTTCCGGCAGCCCTGCCCCCTCTGCCTGGCGGGCAGGTGAGGCCTTCACAGGGGCCGCTGCCTGCCACCACTGTGCCCGGCGGAGGCCACCAGGGCACCGAGCAGTCCGTAAAGGACTGGCAGTGAGCAGATGAATGGGGAGGGGACAGAGCAATGTAACATTTAACTTCTGTCCGTCTGGAATGGTTCCGTTTCCCGGACAGCGCCGGCAGACTGGGCAGCTGTGCCCACCCCCACACTGCGCGCAGGGAAGCAGACCGCCCCTCTGCGTGGAGGGCTGGGGCCTCAGGAGGGACATGCCGCCCGGGGACCAGCTCCCGGCCCGTCTCTGGAGCGGCGCAGAGCCCTCGCCACTGCAGGCAGGCACGTCCCGCCCGACGGCCTCGGACGCCCCACTGGGCAGGGGACCCTCTGTCCTCGGCTCACACCCCACAGCTGGGGGCCTGTTCAAGGGCGGTCCCCCACCGTCCCGGAGCCGCGGGGACACAGGGGAGAACCGGCCCACAGAAGAGGCTCCGAGCAGAGGCCCGGGAGAGGGGCGGGGGCACGGGCGCAGGGCAAAGCCGTGCGGCCACTCCACCCTCCCCACCAGCTGGCTGCAGTGAGCTCCCGGCCGGAAGACGACGACCGCCAGGGGCCGGCGGACCCTGCGGGATGGCAGCCTGGGGCACAGAGCTTCTTGGAACTAAGATGTTGTTCGCTGTGTCTCCGAGAAGGACAAACCCTGCACTTTGTGGCCGAGCCCCGAACGCAGGTCCTGAAGGCACGGCCTCCGGGGCTCTGCGAGCACTGAACCATCATCCTCTCGGGGAGCGGGCTCGGGGGTGCGTCCCCGGAAGGGGTCCCGGGAGGAGGGGTGCGGCCGCAGGCACGGGACAGCCTGGCGGGAGAAGCTCCCACCAGCTGCTCCCGGGAGATTCCGTTTCACACGGCCTCTCTCTCTCTGCACTCCCCAGTAAATGCGGGGTCGAGCCGCCGGCTCCCCTCTGGGGGGAAACGCACTCCAGCAATAAAAGCGCTTCCCCGCAGAAGCTTCCTGGGGCCGGGCTGACGCCACCCCCACACCGGCACCCAGGACCCCAGTCCTGTCTGGGGCCCCGGCCTGCCACAGTCAGTGCCTCCCGGGTCGGTGTGCTGACCAGGCTCTTCTCCACCTCTTTCGTCCCGGTGTCTGAGGGTCGAGGCCTCTAGCAGGCTAGAGCTGGCAGGGTTCAATGTCACCACGAGCTATGGCTAGCCTAGGGTGCCAGGGGGAGTGTGTCCCCATCCGTGCGAGCACTGCCATCGAGCTAACTCGAGGAAGTGACCACAGCCTTCCGCCGTGGCTGCGTCCTGGTGGAGCAGGGAGCTTCCTCGGTGTGAGGTCCCCCGGGTCACAGCGACCTCGGCCTGGGGAGAGCGTCACGTGACGCCTGTGGGGAGAGGGGTCCTTTCCCTCCGACCCTCTTCCTTGTTCCCAGAAGCCTGGAGTTGGAAGCACCCCCAAACCCAGTGCCCTGGGCCCCCCGTTGGGACACAGGCGAGGCCTGGGAGCAGCTCACCTGTGCTGAATGCGGGGGTCGCTCTGCACCAGCGGCAGGATGGCCTCCAGCACCTTGCTGGCGGACCCCGGAAGCATCTCCAGCACCTTCTTGTCGATGGCCATCTTATCCACGATGGTCTTGAAGTAGCGCAAGGCGCTGACCACCTCCTTCTCTTTCTCTTCCAGCCAGCTCAGGTTCTGAAAGGAAATGTTAAGCATAAGGAGGGAGGAGAGAGATTAAAGGGAGCTATTTTGAAAAGATAAAACAAAATTTCCTGTAAACTGTCTCAGACGGATGCAAATGGAAACAAAGCTTCTCGAGGCAGCGGCCGAGCCCGAGTTGAGTTCTGAGGACGCCGCCAGGACACAGAGGCTGGACATGTGGGACAAGCGAGGGGCTGTTCAGCTGCGCAGAGACTGAGGGGGCTGGGGCCCCCTCTGCCATGCCTAGCGACCGCCGCTAATCTGCTTGGGTGTGGAGAGGACTCCCTTGCCAACGGCTGCAGGAGGCGCAGGGAACGGCGGTGACGTCCCACGGCACGCGTCTGCCCCGCGGACCGGACCCAGAGGACCGGGGGGCGTGGAGGCCGCTCAGAGGCCCTGCGCTCACGGCCCGCTCTCCCACACCCCTCCCCGGGCAGCTCCCACACGCAACCCAAAGACGCAGCCCCTCTCGAGGACGTGAGCACAGCCATGGACCGGTGGACCCGGGGTCAGAAGGGGCGGGTGCTCAGGGGTGAAAGGTGAAGAGGCCGGAGCAGACGGCCGTGACCCCATCACGGCTGAGCAGCGAGTGCTAACGGGTCCGTGGCCCCGCGGCTCCTGGTCCCGAGGAAAGACCGCCTGGGGGCCAAGGAGAGCCCAGAGCCCCGCCCCTCCCAGGAGGCGGACTCCCCGGCCCATGCCTCCCTCCTGGTCCTCCCACCTGGTCAGCGGTCACCCAAGTCCGGTCAGGGGGGCACACACCCTCGGGCCCCTCTCCCCAGACTGGGCCTAACGCCCACGAGCCAGGTCCCCGCCGGCTGGCAGGGAAAGGGGAATCGAGGGCACCCAGGAAGCAGACACACCCCCACTCGGAGACTCCGCTCCGGCAGGGTCCACGGCCATGAGGAGTGCGGTGTGTGAGCGGAGCGCCCCCTGCAGGGCTCTCTGAGGTCCAGGGAACAGAGAGAGAAAAGCAACTGTGGGCAACGGAGTAATTTCTAGAAAAAGTTGCTTTCGACAAGAATCTATAGACAGCCAAGGGAATAAAATATAATAAAAAGTGATTATGATTCTGAGCGCTAGCTCTTTTCTTCTAAGAGGATGGAGAATGTCATTTTAAATTAACAGCTCTACCGTGGAGGCATTTACTTCATGGGAACGTCAGAAGAAAAACACATAAAGGGGATGGAGAAGTAAACAGCACCTTTGGTCGGATGGCTTTCAAAGGCCTGGTTTAACTTCTCTCCAGGGGTGCGCCCCCAGGGCGTGCTGTCGCCCAGGGAGAGCTCCCCAGGGGAGCGCCCCCCCACCCCCTCTTTTCCGTGCTCACATGACCGACAGGCTTGCGGGCTGATGGCCCGGCTCCCAGAGGCCGCGCACTGTCTCTGCGCCTCGTGGACAAGAGCCCCCGCTCCTCCATCACCCAGTGGGGCCGGGAGGGGCCCGAGCGGGAAGGAATCAGGGTGCTGCGGACGTCAGGTGTGGCTGACGCCGCGGTCGGCCAGCCCGGCCAGAGGCCGGGAAGTCCACGAGGGCAGCTGTGCCGGGGAGGGCCGAGGTCTGGCACTGGGCGTGGGGACCCGTGGGCTTCAGGTGCCTCGTGTGCACGAGGGGAGGACCATTCCTGCCCCGGGGGCCGAGAGCGGTGGATGTGCGGACTGAAGGAGAACGCACGTGGAAGCATTTTGTACCATTTAAGAAAAAAACAGATTTTGATGGGAAAACTTGGGCCAGAGCCCCCACTCTGTGTGTCGGGAAGAATAAGAGCTTTTGCAGGTGGTTAAGGCGAGGAGTAAAGAAGACAGCATGGGAAACCCCCCAGGACAGGGCCTGGGCGCGGAGAGACCGCCGGGCAGCTGCAGACGGCCCGGAGCCGGCACGCCTGTCCCGAGCTGCGGTCCTGCCTGCATTTAAACAGGAGAAGCCACGGACGTAAACTTAGGGGGGAAACGACAATGTGTACGGGAAATACTCTCTAATCACTGAGAGCACTAAGAAGTAATAGATAATCAATGGTTCTTGCAAAGGACAGACTTGCAAGGCTTCCCCGACAGAGACTTCCCAGCGCACACGCGGGCGGCTGGCCCGGCCTGTGCCCGCACTACACAACCAGCTCGCGCTCGCTCGTCTCACGCCGGCGACTCGGGGCAGGGCGCAGCACCGCGGCCCCCCTTCGAGGGCGACAATCAGAAGCCCGGCAACACTCCTCCTTCGGGAAAGACCACGCCCGCAGCTCCCTGCTGCAGGACAGGGCCGCCTGGCTGCGCGCCGCTGACGCTGTGGGGCCGGCAGCTCTCCATCTGGGGGCGGAGGGCCGTGCCATGTGCTGCGGGGCGTTCGCCGGCAGGCCCGGCCCCGACCCGCCAGGTCCAGCAGCTCCTGCTTCGCCTTCCCGGTTGCGGCAGCCGAACATGTCTCCGAACACGGCCCAGCGCCCCCTGGAGTTTACAGGAGCCCCCTAAGTACAGGACATGTTAGCACCTAACGGTCCCCTGTGACCTGTCTCAGGATAACCCGGGGGGCGGGCGTTCTGAGAACCGAGCGGCTGGAACAGCTTCTCGTCAGAGGTGGCCAGCGGAGCGCAGGTGTCGGGGGCGCATTTTACCCCGGGCGGCCCGGGCTAGGGCTGGGACTGACGCTCTTCCTGGACGCGAGCGCGAGGCTCGGCCCCGAGAGGCTGCAGACCCCTGGGGTGCAGACCCCCCCATGGTGCAGACCCCCAGGCCTGCTGCTGCTTTGTCCCGCTCCTCTGGTCAGGGATCGGGCCCACCTGCCGAGCGCTGAGCACTTTGCGCTCGCCCCTCGGCCTCCTGTTGTTAACAGACGGGGCGGGAAGAGTGGTCCTCCGACCGAAGACTCCGGTGTAGAGCCTTCGTCCCCCCACCTTTAGCCGGGGCTGTGAAAGCAAACGCGGGCCTGCGACACGCGGGCCCCACGCGTCTGCGGGGCAGGGCAGCCCCTCGAGCGGCCAAGGCTGCCGGTGACAGCACCTGCTCGTCGACACGGCCTGCTTTTATTTCGCGTTGCTAAGTTCAATTTGTTTTTGTGCTTGGTTGCGTGTGGGGTTGACATTCAGACGTGGGAGCTGTTCAGAACCGAACTTGGCTTTCACAGAGAGGAAGTGCAGCCACGCAAGTGCTTCCACGTGGATGTCGGACCGCCCGGCCCAGATCTCAGTGCCACGCCCCTTTCTCTGCGTGACTGCGGCCAAAACTCCCTGTCGCTACGGCGCCGTCGGCCCCCGCCTGCCAGTGCTGCCGTAGGGGTGGCATGTAGGGGTGGCGCCGGCACGGGCTCTGGGCGGCCTGATGACCCCGGCGGCGCGGGGCGGCCCGGCTCGGAGAGCGCCGGGCACTGCAGGGGCCCTTCCCTGTCTCGGCGCCCAGCTCATCTCAGCGACTCGAGGGAAGAACGGCTGGCCTTGGTGGGGAGACTCCCTCACTTCCCCCGGAACCCGCTGGACCCGAGCAGCACTCCCAACCAACCCCAGCGAGGGTCCCCGAGCCCTCGCCACGGATTGCTGCGCTCTCGCCGGAGACCCTGGGGGCTTGGGCAGACTCGCTTTTCACCCAAGGTCCCTTGGGCTGTTTCTGGGACGAGCAAGCCCACAGCTGCCACCCGAATGAACACAAGGGTGCTGTAATAGGACTTATCCATCCCCAAAACCACGGGCCAGGACTCTGCAGGAGGAGGCAAGGCAAACCCAATGTTCTTAACATCACACTGACCTTCTGCCTCTGAGACCTGGAGGCCCCAGCACTGGCGGACATAAATTCTACTGCCTGCGGCTCCAGATCCAAGGGGGTGGGGCAGCCCTCTGGTAGGGATCTGTCTGTTGCCTCCTGGAAGAGAGGAAACCTGGATTCCTACGGGGCTTGAAATGGCCGTTTGAGGCTGAAGAAAGGGGGTGATGAAAATCCGCAGCTACTTCAACATATCTGGCTTGACTGGCCCTGTGGGGGTCCCTGGGGCCTGAGGACACGGTTGGCCGGGTTCCAAGGACTCCGCACGCCTCAGAGCACGGAAGCTCTGGACGGGACGGGCTACCCCGTGCGCGCGCACACGCCTGGGCAACGCGGGGCTTCCCGGGGCAGGGAGGCAGCGCCACGGGGTGAGGGGTGAGGGCAGGGCGTGCCGAGCTGGCGTGAGTGCCCAGAAGACGGCACAGCTGCAAAAGGAGAGCTGCTCTGGCCACCTGAGCTCGACTCTGGCTGACGGGGGAGACGCTCCCCGCCCTGCAGGCTCGCGCCCCTCAGGGGCGCGGGAGGCCCCGCCTGGGCCCGGGGACACCGTGCAGCAGGTGTCTGCCTGAGAGGCCCGTCCCCAGGGGACGGACTTTTAAAGCACAAACTCCCGGTGCTCGGAGCCAGAGGACACCTGGAAAGAGTCTGCTTACCTTGTTCACAGGCTTCTCCAGAATTTTCATGGACACGTCAGCTGGTTTTCCCTTCTTGGATGGCGTTCTCTTGATCTTGGGCGAGTGGAATTTGTCCATCAGCTTCATGGTGAAGGAGGAGAGATGGGACCGCTGGGAGTCTGAAAACAAAGAGGGTGCTGGCCGTTAGAGCCGGGGGGGGGAACCTCGGGGCCCTTCGTGGGAAGGAGTGTTGCCCCAACACAAACGTCCCCCAGAGCTCAGAGTCACGGGGACGGGATACGTGGGCTCCTTAGCGCCTGACTGCGCGCTTCAGTCTCTGCGGCTTCTGTCTCTGGGGTGGGTGGGTGGGTTGTCTGGCGTGCTGGCTGCCAGCCAGGCAAAGCATGCGTGGAGAAAGAACCAGCAAACATCCCCAAGTGTCCTTGCAGAGTTTGTACGGCGACCTAACCGAAGTCCGAGGGAGCGGCCGGCAGAAGGAACAACAGCAAAGCAGACCCGCAGACGTGTGCGCGGCAGGGGCTGGGGGCGAGGCCCTTCCGAATGAGCCCCTTCCTCCGCTTTGTGGTGTGGGGTGGTGACGGCGACACCGGCACGGCCCTGCTCGGAGCCGGCAGCGGGGACTGCAGCGGAGCTGAGGTGTTCGAAGCCCCCCGGGACGCAGCGAGAGGGGGGTGGTGTCTCCCGAGGTCAGGCTCGGCCCTCGGCGAGTCCTCGTCCTCGTGAGGACGCAAACACACCAATCACTCGATAAGACCACTTCAGACCCTGGACAGCACTATGATAAACGGCGAAACGAAGGAAGGCTGCTCAGTGGATTTTTGTTTATTTAAAACCGCTTCATTGAGATATGAATCGCACATACGGTTGACTCACTTAAACTGGAGTCCAACCTTTTTTTAAGAGTAATTCACTGGGTTGCACAACCATCATCAGACTTTAATTTTAGAACATTTTGTTTCCTACCAAACTCTGCCCTGGCCAGGGTGGCCCGGTTGGTTGGGTGTCGTCCCTGCAGACCAAAAGGTCACAGGTTCGATTCCCAGTCAGGGCACGTGCTTGGGGGGCAGGTTTGGCCCTCCACCAGGGCACGTGCAGGAGGCAACTGGTTGATGTCTCTCTCTCTCACTCTCAGACATCGGTGTTCCCCTCCCTCTCCTTCTCCCTCCCTTCCCCTCTCTTTGGAATCAATAAAAGAAAACACCTCCAAGCCTCCTGCTCTCTAGCAGCCCCTCTGCGCCCCTCTCCGCTCCCCTCAGCTGAGGCGACCACCAGCCCACCTTCTGCCCCTACCGGTTTCCGTACTCCGGACGTTTCAAATAAACGGGATCACGCAGGGCAGGGCCTTTCGCGACCGGCTGCTTTCGCAGGTCTGGCTCGACTGGCCCCTATTTGCCGCAGTCACTCCTGGGCTCCAGAACAGGCAAACTGAGGCGCCGTGATTCCCCAGCTCCCCCTGCCCTGCCTCTTCCCCCGCCACCCAAGCAGGGCGGGGCCTCCGTGCGGTTTACACTTCCTTCTCGAGGCTCCCAAATGCCGTGCCGGCCCCACCGCTCGCGGCGGTTGAGAGGTGAGCGGTTGAGAGGTGAGCGTGCAGGCGCGCCGGGTTCAAGGGCTCCGGCCGCCTCTCCAAGTCCCAGGCTCCCCCGTCTGGGGAGCGGCGCTGGGAACACTGCTCCTGAGACGACGGACGTGATGCAGGTCCGTCCCCGAGACAGGGGGCTGGCCATGCCACCCCCACGATCCGGAGGGCGCGCTGAATTGCCCACTGTGTGCAGACCTGCGTCGGGCCACCCTGCTGCCTGGGCCCCCGGGCCTGGCGGAGGCCTGGTCCTCTCCCTCCGGCACCGCCCCGAGTCCCCACCGGCCTCCGTCTGCTCCTCTGCTTCCCTCTCCGGTGCCTCCTTCCGCGCTGCCGCCATTGCCACCCCCACCCCCTCCTTCTGGTGCTGGCCTCAGCAGCCCCGAAGAAGTCCCAGCACAGCCCTCTCGGGGCAGGCTCCCACGTCAGATGGGCTGTCAGAGCAATGTGCTGACCCGGGACTTCCACCCTGGCCAGTAAGGCTGAAAGCAGGGTGAACAGAGCAGACACGAATGGGGAAGTCTAGGCAGGATGCACGGCTCCTCTGCTCCGCTTTGGCAGTCAAAGATCTCCCGAGATACAGACGCAGCTGCGCAAGCCGACTTCCGCCCCCTGCAGCCTGCTCCCCCCTCCCCGCCCCCCGCCGGGGCTGCTACACAGGCGAGCACTCGGCCCGGCCCGAGGGGCTGGCCAGATCCCCACCTCTGCCATCATGACCCAGGGTGCAACTAGGGTGGGCAAGCACAGTGCAGGGGCCTGAAAACGCCTCTCGGGTCCCTGCATGTGCAGGACTGGTCCAGGTCGTGACCCAGGGCCCGCTGAACCCCAAAGCGTGACACAGCACTCCCTCTGCCCTGCTGGCTACAGCCCGAGAGCCCGCCCGGGGCGCAGCGGGGACTCAACACCAGCACGTAGAGGAAGTGCTGGGTCTACTGACGAGTCTCCCCTCAGGGCACGTGGGAGCCTCACGACGGCCGGCTCGAGCACACGGCGCGGTCCACCGAGTGGAGGAAGCAGCTCCTCTGTCGCGACAACCAGCCCCACTCTGGGAATCGAGGACAGCACTAACCAGGACAGGTACTGACTGGGAGGCTGCCTGCCACTTCTCCTTGAAGCAATGGGTTAGCAGCACAGGTGGCAAGTGACTTGCACAGTCACTGGAACGAAAGATGCACCGTGTGCTGATAAAGGACTGCAATGACCAGCGGCAGCAGCGTGGCAGGAAGCCACGGGAGGCAGCCCTCTCAGGGAAACACATGCGCGTGCACACACACACACACACACACACACACTCTTCCTGCCCCTCTTCTCTCGCCCTCGTCCTCCCTGCACACCCATCACTGGGCCCGAGACGCCCCCATGCTCTGCAGCGGGCCGAGCAGGCTTCGCCACCCACTTGCGAGTTGCACCCCACCACTCCCTTAGGAAGGCACAGTCCCGTGTGTCTTCAGAGACTTTCTAGCACTGACACTGAAACCAAATTCTGAAAGATTCCATCCACGCACGTTCAGATGCCTCTCAACGCAGGACTGGGTTACGATCGCACGACTGGGCTGGGTTCCCAAGAAACTGACAGTAGGCAGCCCTGATGCTCATTTCTGTGCTTACTGCCCTCACTTTTTGCGACAGTGCACACCCCTAAACCGCTCGCTGGGTAGGTCTGCGCACGGCACGCGTGCGGCAGGGCACTGTGGAAGTTCTCACACTCCCACGTGCCCCCCCACAGAGGGCCTGCCGCTCAGCCCCGAGACGTGGGTGTGAGCGCCCTCCCCCTCCCTGCCGTGGCGTGCCGGGGTCCCTAACGCTAGCTTTATCTCCCCGCTCCCCTGCCGGTGGGCGTGGGCGTGGCCGTGGACCCTCGGGACAAGAGTAAGAGCTCTCTCCGACGGGGACTGCTGCACAGTGGACCACCTGCTGTATTTAACTTCACGGATATTGCCAAACGCCTCTCCAGAGTGGCTGTGCCGATCTGCAGTCCAGCCAGCAGGTCCCAGTTGCTCCACAGCCCCCCACGCGTGGGGTCGCCAGGCCCGCACACTTCCGTATGGCCACGCCTAACCAGAGGGGACGAGGGCCCCCTTCCCGTGGAAATGCCAGAAGGCAGTATCCGGCTGGGACCCGTCAGACCTGGGTGAGCAGCTCCCAAGGCCACCGAGGGCACGGACGGCAACGAGGCCTCAGACCACTGCCCGGCGCGGTGCCCACACCGCCCACACCGCCGGAGGCCAGAGACTCCCGAGGACCAGTCCATCCGCGAGCCGCTTCTTCTAGGGGAAGCGTGGCTGCACGACATCTGCACGAAAGGGCGGAGTGCCGGCGAGGGCGGGCACGTCCCAGGGCAACGGGTCCAGCGACACAGCTGGATGCATCCTTCCCAACAGGAGGGAACCGTCCTTCCGGTCTGGAGAGGAGGAGGAGGAGGACGGCCCGGAGGAGGGGCAAGGAGCTCACAGAACGAGGTCAACAAAACACAAACACGCACCAAAGCCGACCGAGCTGCTCCCAGGCCGCCGGCCAGGTGTCAGCGTTTCAGTCTTGCACTGTCACCGGCCCCGGGGCCGGCCCGACTGCCACCCCTGCCCGCGGCCGACAAATGTGCACAGCAGCTGGCCTTTCCCATGTCACTTGGAGCAGCAGCTGGGGTCCCAACTTAGCAGCGGTTGATGCCGGGGCTTAACTTCCCCCGGTGGGAGGAGTCTGTGAATGTCAGCCACACGGGGCACCGCAGAGTCGGGGGCGGGCGGACGACACTCGGAGGCTGTGCCGATCGCCACAAACCCGCAGCTGTCCGCTTCTCGTCACCCTCCACGTCTGTCTGGACGCGGAGCTGCGGCGTGGCCGGGAGGGACCCCCACCTGTCCAGTCCCTCTACCTAATCCTGTCCAGTTCCCCGCAGCAGCGGCGTGAGGACATTAGGAAGAGCTTGTCTTCTAACACCCAGAGTTCGGGTTTCACTGGCCCGGAATGTTCCAGGCCGATGGAAAGACGGAGCCCAGCAGCAGGGCCGACGGCTCGCGGGCACGGTGGGTGGCCGAGCGGGCTCTGGGCCGGGCCGGCGGTGCTGCACCCTGAGCTCAGCCACGTCCCGTCCCGCAAAGACCCGTCCCCTCTCCGCGCCGAGGCCCCTCCCCCGCAGAACGACCGTCGCCTCAGGGGGTGGGGGGGGGACCGACGAGGACCGACCGTGGCCCCCCTGTGCACGCAGTGGCAGGCGGGCCGAGGGCCTGACGGGCAGCAGGCGCTCAGCGAATGACGCCGTTGCTGGGATCTGATCGCACTGCCCGGCGGCCGCCAACACTTAATAAGGCGAAAGCTAAAAATAGCCCCAGCCTAGGAGAGTGGAAAGCGACCTGATGTTTCCTTCTTTCCCAGCTTCCACATTACACGGTCTTGTCTTACTCAATACAGAACTATTCACGTTCAAGTAGCAGGGAAATAATAGCCCGGAGTTTCACAACACCAAAGGCTCTCCTGACATGGAAATCTGTTCATGTTACTCATTTGTTCAGAAAGTCTACTGATGACCGTGGTGCCGCTGAGGGTGCTGATGGAAACAGTAAGCGTGTCTTCTCTTTTCGTCAGCAACAAAAGTAAAACGACCTCATTTAAAAAAATTCAAGCACTGCAAAAATACATCACACAGCAAGCAACAGCCTCTCCTAACTCCATCTGTGGCAGAGCCAAAGTGTCTTTTCCCTCCACACAGGCGGCGGGGCCACGCCACGCTCAACCAGGCCCCCACAGACGGTCCCCCCCTGCCCTCCACACGGGCTGCACTGGGGCGCACCCTCAGGCTCACCCCGGGGGGCACCTGCACGAGGAGCCAGACACCCAGAAATGGGGTTGCCGGGGTGAAGGTGCAAGCACGGTGCGATCCCGTCCGGCTGCTGGGAGCGGGCCGCAGGCCGGGGGGACCGTGCCACGGAGGGAGGCTCGGGGTGGAGGCCGCACAGGCGGGGTGCAGAGGAGAGGCCGGGCCTCCGAGGCCCTGCCACCTACGGAGGCCACCAGGCTTCACCTTGGATCTGAGGTCGACCTGATGGAGAGCCACCATTTTTGTGTTACTTGCATAGCCGGTAAGAATTTAAAGGATTCACAACGGAACAGACATTTCGTCAAAGACGATATCCACGCGGCCAATGGGCAGATGACAAGGCGCTCACCCCCACTGCCACCGGGAAGTAGTAGATTAGAACCACAAGGTGATACCACGACCTGCACATGGGGATGGACACAAGGAAGAAACAGGAAGTGCCGGCGTGGGCGTGGGCAAGGAGCAGCGGGCCTTCTCCACCCCCCGCCGTGCAGAGGGCGAGCCAGAGGACAGCCGGACAGCCGCCCCCTCGTGGCTAGGGGCGCGGCCCAGCCAGGGGCCCGTGCGAGGCCCGGCTGCGGCGTGACGATGAACAATCAACACCCACACACAGCGTGAGTGGATCTCACGAATGCAGAAAGGGGAAAGACACAAAAAGTGTACCTTGCATGATTCCGGTTCTACAAACCAGAACACGGGCAAGAGCAATCAATCACTGGTTTCAGGGGCCGAGGCACACCGGAGGGTGGGTGGTGACGGCAGGGGGCACGGGGGGTGAGCTGCGGTCTGCTTCTCGGTTGGACGTGGCCCCACCGGTGGGTCCACCCGTGTCGAGGCTGCGAGCCGAATGCCCATCAGATGTAGATTTCTGACACACGGCGCACACGACTAAAAGCTGACGTGAACTAGACACAGAGGTCTATGGTTCTTCTACAAAACGGCCCACATGACTGTTACATGGGCCGGATTAACAGATCATTTGCAATTTCAGGAAATCCTACTCGGTGAAATGAACAAATGGGTTTAACCATGAATAGCCCAGAATGAGTCTCCTCCCAAAGAACTCTGCACTGACCATCTCAGGAAGAATCTGTGAATATCTCAGGAGGCTTTTGCTTCATCTTGGTAAAAATAATCAAAGAGCTGACATAAATGCAGATATTACGATCTTAAATCTCCAGTAAACAGACGTTTTCTAACACTGCATGCAAAATTCAAAGAACTCACTGTAAATACAACGGTATCCTATGATTTCTTTTATTTTGCCCAAGACTAAATTGATGCATTTCTGCACCTATCCGTGAGGTCAGGCTAAGAATTAAAAACAACATTCGTTCGTTCAATGACCATTCGAACTCTCACCCGGGCCAGGCCCCGAGTCAGCACCGAGGAACAGCCCCCGCGGAGGGCAGCAGCGGCACCCGGGCTAGGCAGCTGGGCAGGCGGGTCTGCGTCAAGGACACGGATGGGGGCTGGAGCTGTGCACGTGGGGGCTGTCGGCACGCACGCCGTCACGGTGTGCTCCGGACGCGCCGCCACCGCCCCCGCCCTGGCCCGAGCCTCCTCGCTGCTCTCCCGGACCACGGCAGGCGCTTTCCAACCGGTCTCCTGCTCCTCAGTTTCCTGCCGTCCTCTCAGCCCAGCCACCACGGCAGCCCTCACGAAAGGTAGGTCGTGGCATGCCGGCCCGCTGCTCGGAAGCCTCCGGCGGCATCCGTTCTCACTCCGGAGGACGCAATGCCCTCCGGAGGTCGCGGGCCCACAGGACTTGCACCCTGGGTGTGCCACCCCCACCCCTACCCCTGCTGGCCCCACCCCCACACACCTTTGGGATTAAGCCCATCCGCAGGAAACCGGTTCCTGCTGTCCCCACTGGGGGAGGCCTGACCAGTGCCAAGTGGCTAGCCCTGGACGGGTGAATCCAGTCCGACCCTGGGGCCTGGTCACGAGGAAGCTCACCTGGCCCTTACGGTGGCTTCGTCCTTTAAGCGGGTGTTTATCAGAAGTCAAGGTGGCATTTTGGCTCTTCTCTCTCTCACTGTCTTTCTCTCCAGCTTTCAGAACTCAGAGCAGAAAAGGGGCTCTACTCACTGACCCCTCGGGCCTCTGATGACGATCACACCTCACTCATTTTGGAGCCCGGCACTTAGCCCGACGACTGGCACGGGAGGCACACACACCCGGGGCCTGTCAGCGAGCAGGCGGATGGGGAGCCAGTGGAGGAACCCCGTAACGACCGGCGACCACCGCCTGCAGCCCGCCCCGGGGAGCAGCGTCGGGTGCGCGCTGCGGGCGGGACGGCGTACATGGGTCTTTACTACGGTTCTCTAAGGAGTGCTAGCACAATTTACCCACATTATCATTTCAACACGCGACTAAATGAAAACGAGTGAGAAATTTTACACATCTTTTTCTCCCACACACGTCTTCAAATGCTGGTGTGCACGCCACACCCCCAGCGTGTGTCCAGCTGGACTCGCCCATCCCCATCCCCAGCCCCTGCGGCTGCAGGCCGGGCCCTCGGCCTCCCTGCTGGGGACGGCTGGGGCTTCAGACTGAGCCTCGGGCTGGGCCGCTGAGGTCTTGGAGGCTGCTTTGCCTCTCCCCAAAAGGGCGGACAGCGCGTGGCTGTGGCGAAGCAGGGGTACCCGCTGACCCTTAGGTCCTAGGGTGCAAGGGCCCGGGACCGTGTTCCACAGGAGGCGCTGCAGGTCCTCGCTCGAACCAACACCTGGACGATGGACTGGGCGGATGGCACTGGACGAGGTCAGGGGGTGGAGTGCAGAGCAGTGTTTCAACGGGAAACATTGCTGACAGCCGCAGCTTCCCAACAGAGCAAATAGACTTTCTTTGGCGGCAGGGGCCACGGGTGCGCGTGGGGGCCCGACATGCGATCCTGCTGTGCTGAGATGTGGGCAAGAGGAGCGGCGCTGGCTCCGCACGGGGCCCAGCGCAGCCCCGGGATCCGACACCCACGCCTCCCCGACCTCTGGTGCGGCCAAAGCCCTCGGCACGCGTGTGGGGCGGGCCGCTCCCGGGCCTCCTTCCCTCCTGCCGTCGCGAGCAGGTGACCGAGCACTCTGCGTCAGGTCGCTCAGCGCAGCACTGGCACACGCAACACACGTCATCTGCGGCTACACCAGTGTTTCTGAGAAGACCGCTGCCTCTTCGAGTGGACAGTTTTTACTCCACACACTATAAAAACAGAGGAGATAGCGCCCTGAGTGGGCATTCTTATGATTTGAGCAGTTTTCTATGTGTTATACCTTAGCAAAAAAGTTTTATTAACAAAACAGTAGGCACTCAGAGAATGCCTACAAACAGAGAGGAGGAGAGAAGCTGGATTCTTGAGTGACATTGTCTGGGATGCTGGAGCCAGCTGTACCTGAAGCTCACATGCCTCTCAACTTCCAGCAACGTTATAAAAAAGGGGGAAGAGCCCAACAACTAAAGTATCTCACAGGATTTAAACAGAAGCCACAGCCCCCAGCAGATACACTCCTCCTCATGCAGCGAGCTCAGAGCTGCCCTGCTGGGAAGTGCCTGCGTCGGAGGGGGTCCTGACTGCCCCCACACGGGGCTTGCCCTCGGCCTCCCATTGTAAAACATCCACCTCATCGCAGACAGATGCCCGCAAGGGGAGGAGAAGGAGCCTCTGGGGTGGACGGCTGCTCCTGGGGGCGCCCAACCCAGTGGCTCGGTCAGTAGCTCCTGTCTTTAAGCATCCCGTTAGAAGCCGGACCCTGGGCAGGGGGTTCATCCGTCACCCCCGATCCTCACACTAACACGGGGAGGGAAGTCCTCTCATTGACATCTGACAGATGAGGAAACCACGTCACAGGCCCACCACCCCCCGACGCACGTCACACGCACGTCACAGATAAGACAGCTGTAGCCCTGACACAGGCCGTGCACCGCTCGAGGTCTGCCTGTCCCCAGGGTGGCCCACCCCCAAGGAAGTACTCCTTCTCCACCGCTGTTGGGAGTCGGCTCGGAGACCCGTGAAGCCAGACTCCAGACGTCCAGCGAGGTGCAGCGGTGCGCTCTGCAGCGGGGTTTCCCGCGGCCGGAGGGGTCGGGGGTCGGGGGTCGGGGGTGGGAGCGACAGTGTATGCTAGCCCGTGTGCCAGCACAGGGGCAGGGAGCACGCAGGGCCGGAGCGGAGCGCAGTCCGTCGCGCGGGATCCTGGCTGCAGCAGGAGGCCGGCCGCCCTGACCTCTGCCCTCTAGGTGGGGCTGTTCCCAGCAGCCTCCTTCCCCCAGGGGACCTCGTGCGGGCGTCGGGACCGGTGCCAGGGC